CCAAGAATCCGGCCCAACCCGGCTTTGTTCAAGGCGTCCAAACTGTCGGGATGACAGATGAGACGATCGAATTCGATCTTGCCTGCCTTGACAGCATCGAATACGTCCTGTTCACCTACCAGAACAGCTCCAGCGGCGCGGGCTTCCTTCTCGTGTCTTGTTCCAGGAGGGCACACGACACAGATTCGCGATTCGGTCTGGACGGAGTGAGGAAATCGGAGCATGTTACGGATGACCGGCCCGTCACGTTTTGTTTTCAAACGAATATGGATTTCGTATTTGGAGACAGTCGGTTCGCGACCAACTTCGAAAGCGCGGAGATATCTGCAGTAGAATAGCCAGAGATTAGCGAGATATGCGAGTGAAGTGCCTCAGCCCAGACAATATCTACCTTATGGCATCGCAGAGCGCAAATTGCTCAACATCCTTGAGGTCTTTCTGCTTGAACTCCCGGGGACCCTTCTTTTCCTTCTTGCTCTTCGCCTTGGCTTTTTTATTTTGGGCCTGAGGATTGCTCTTGGCTCCTCGGACCTGTTGGTGAAAGCTCGAGAGCAAAGGCGCCATTGTTCTTTGTCGAAGAGGCAATTGACATGTTGAAAGAATGCCCCTTGCCGCCGACGGCAAGATCGAGCCCAAGGAGGACATGGTTTGGAGAGTTGATTGATGCGAGCCTTCTTCAAACTCCTGGGAGACGGAGATGTTTTCTTCTCCGAAAGCTCTCTCTCGGCGATGCGGGCGGAGAAACGTGACGCCGGCGGAGTCCCTTTTGAGTCAAATGCCCCTCCATACTACTCAATTTTTGGGGAAATTCAACAGCCCACTTGTTACGCTCTCGCGGGTCGATTTCACTCGAGGCGATTTTGAGGGCCGCAATGTCTCAGTATCAGCTTACTCTGGCCACCAGGGCCAATCAGCCCTATGTACTTCCTGTCCTATTGGTCGCAACTTCCATCAATGAAGCACGACCAAGCCCAGTGATATCGATCACCTATGAGGATACTGCGGTTCTTCGTGAAGGAGATAAGGCCGTCGTGCAATACACTGGGGCTAGCGGTAATCCTGTCTTTGGCCTTATCAATGCTATTCAAGAACTCCGCAAAGACTTCCCCTTCCTTAACAGCAAGGATGAGAAGCTGGTAAGAGGCGCCATAGAACCGTTACCGTTGATGAACACTGATAGGTGATGCTAAACCTCGTTTTCTAGGAGAATGAGTGGCTGTCTCAGTTGGAAGCATTTGCTCCTCTCGATTTCAAAGCCCTTGACCCTGAATTGCAGCGGCTCGATACCCACCTCCTGCTGAGATCCTTCGTCGTCGGTTACTCTCTCTCCACGGCCGACATTGCCCTTTGGGGTGCCATCCGAGGCAACCGTGTCGCAGTTGCCGCGATCAAGAAGGGCTCACTTGTCAATGTGACTCGTTGGTTCTATTTCTTGGAGGATCTTTGCCCATGGGCCACATCTGCACTTGGGGCCTTGAACCAGGCTGCGAGAGAGAAGAAGGCCGCCAAGGCGAAGGAGGGAGCCAGCTACGACATCGCTCTTCTCAACACTGAGAAGGGAGTGGTGACAAGATTTCCTCCCGAGCCTTCAGGTTACCTTCACATCGGTCACGCAAAAGCTGCACTGCTCAACGACTACTTTGCGCACGAGAAGTATAATGGCACCCTTCTTGTCCGCTTCGACGACACAAATCCTTCGAACGAGAAGCTCGAGTTCCAGGACGCGATTATTGAAGATCTTGCTCTCATGGGCATCAAGCCCGACAAGATGAGCTACACCAGTGATTACTTTGACGAGCTTTACCAGTACGCCCTTCAAATCATCAAGGACGGCAACGCCTACGCCGACGATACCGAGAAGGAGGTCATGGCTGAACAGAGAATGAATGGAAAGCCCAGCAAGCGTCGTGATGCATCCGTCGAGGAGAACCTTGCCCGCTTCGAGGAGATGAAGAAGGGCACCCCTGAGGGTCTCCGTTGGTGTATCCGAGCCAAGATGTCTGTTGATAACCCCAACAAGGCCATGCGTGATCCTGTCATTTACCGCTGCAACCCTGCCCCTCACCACCGCACTGGGACGAAGTGGAAGATCTATCCTACCTACGACTTCGCCTGCCCTATCGTCGACTCAATCGAGGGTGTGACCCATGCCCTCAGAACTATTGAGTACCGCGATCGCAACCCTCAATACCAGTGGTTCTTGGACACGCTCAAGCTTCGCCATGTCCAAATCTGGGATTTCGCTCGCATGAACTTCATTCGCACCTTGCTGTCTAAGAGGAAGCTTACCAAGCTCGTTAACCAAGGCGTCGTCTGGGGATGGGATGAGTAAGTCTACCTTCGCTTCAAGCAGATTCTTGTCTTACTAACGATGTCAGTCCTCGTTTCCCCACCATCCGAGTAAGTAACATGCCTGGTCATGCCTGCGGATTGCCTTCTTCATCCGTCGTTTTTTATTATCTCACCTACTTCCCATGTACTGTTGACTTCCCACGCTAACCGTTTCATAGGGCATCCGACGAAGGGGAATGACCATCCCTGCTCTGAGAGAATTCATTCTTAAGCAGGGACCCAGCAAGAACATCACCAACCTTGACTGGACCCTGATCTGGGCAACCAACAAGAAGTACATTGATCCTGTCGCACCTCGTCACACTGCCATTCTCAAGAAGGATATGGTCAAGGCGATCGTCAAGGGAGGCCCGGCTACACCTTACACGGAAGAGAAACCTAAGCACGGCAAGAACCCTGCAGTTGGCATGAAGAAGGTGGTTTTTGGTAACACGGTCATTTTCGACCAGGAAGATGCCAAGAGCTTCAAGCAAGATGAAGAGATCACCTTGATGAGCTGGGGCAATGCCATTGTCCGTAAGATCGAGACCGATCCTACCTCAGGCATCGTTAAGGAGCTGGAGCTGGAGCTCCACCTGGAAGGTGACTTCAAAAAGACCGAGAAGAAGGTCACATGGCTCTCTACTGAGGGACAGGACCTAATCCCCGTTGAATTGGTCGATTTCGACTACCTCCTCAACAAGGACACCCTGCAGGAGGACGACGTCCTCGAGGATGTCCTGAACAAGAACACTGAGTTCAGAGAGGACGCTGTTGCTGACTGCAACGTCGCTGAACTGAAGGAAGGTGACATCATCCAGTTTGAGCGCAAGGGCTACTACCGTGTTGACCGGGCCTATGCACCGGGCAAGCCGGCCGTTTTGTTCAACATTCCCACTGGCAAGACGGGCAAATAGATGAATAGTTAGATGTTTGGGACTTACGAAGCCACGCATGTGTCTACGACGATGTAGATATTAGAAGCACAGAAAAAGAATCGAATTTACATTGTTAGGATACTGAATCGCTGCCTTACGACAGGTGTAAGTATTATTAATTGCAAGAATATAAATACTTATAGTTAATCCTTTCTTCTTTGCAGCAACGATATCTTTATGCTCCCTACACAGCTGCACAATTGAAGGAAGCATATGGTTCTTTTAAAGTGGGTGCTATCTATACGCCATATCAGTTGCCGCAGTCCGTGCTGCCCGTGCCATCTTCTACAATCTCCATCGCTCCACTACGAGAATCTACATTAAGTTTCTCCCAGCTGCATTGGGACATGATTTCATGAGAAGCCAAAGATGATCTTCATGACGTCGAAGACAAAACTACCTTACCTTTTGGGTGGACACGAGCCATCCGGCGAGAACCGACAGCGTTGTTCCATGGCTTACCAGTTGGCCTGTGGTCATCGTTTACCTGATCTTTTTTTTTTCTCTTCCTTTCGCTTTATTCGCTTTGGTCTTCTTCATTGCCTTGTAGAAAGTTCGTCCACTGTGTGCCTCTACTAATTCTGGATTCTTATCTATGCAACAAGCTAATGGAGTCAGACCTTATAGTTCAACGCCAGATCTGTACTCATATCCATGACGAGAGACACGCAGGATATTGAGAAGATTACGTCTAGACCATGTCAAGATCATACAGGGATATAATCATTTGAGTTCAGAAAGCCAAAAGGGCCCCATAAAACCGAACTATGTTAGGTTACATACAACAGCCCGGATCTTTCGGGAGCGCTAAACTGGCATTGCAACGGGCAGTCCGGTACTCCACAACTTGCGTCTCCTTCCCCTTGGAAACTCTCGTGGATTATTATCTAACAGGCCAGCGTCTCCTACTCCACAACCCTATCGACGCCATCTCCACACACCTCTTGCTGAGCCTATGGGCGGTCTTGGATAGACCCTGCCGTAGCAAGAAAAGAAGGAACAAGCTTCGGCCATTGCTTCATCCCGATTCGTCTCTTAACCGCTATCTCCATCGTCTCCTGTCAAGCTTCCGTGGTTCCCTTGGGGCCTATGCCGATGGTATCCCATAGCTCAAAGTTGAGAGATCACAGCAGTGTAATGCTGTTTTCGCTGTCGACTTTGATGGTATTCCTGGTCCTAACCAGAAAAATGACCGGGACGTGCTTGGGGACTACCTAGGCGTAGTCTGGAAAACTTCAGCGGGATATGCCACGGTGCTGTCTCATACGTCAAGACCGTCAGCAATTGCCGAATCACCAGTCAAGACCCCTAGGTTACCCGTAGTCTCTGACTGGGGTTGAGGATACAGCAGCGCGCAAAGGTCCTGATTAGCCCGCGCTTCGTTCCGCCCCAAGCCAGTCTATACTACGTCAACATTTGCTGCCTTCTGAATGCCGTTTGCTGGCCAGGGTAATAACCTGCTCCAGGCCCTTGCCTGTCAGGAAAATCGGCCATTATCCTTACATCTTTCTTGGGCGCAAAGGGGAGTTCTCTCACTAACATAGCCCGTCATCTACCGCTCTTTTCTCCAAGGCCTTGCATTGCTGCATATTTCGGGAGTGAATTTCGTTCTCTACTTCTTTTAAGCCGACGGAGAACCTGACTTGGGAATTCCTCGAAACTCAGGGACGTCGGTTGCAGGACTCGTTTTTTTGACGCCCTAGGCACTAGGCAGATTGCCAGGGAGCAAAGATGGCTGAACAAGCTCCCTCCCAAGGTCAAAGTCAAGGTCCAGGTCAAGGTGATGTCGAACGCGGCCCATCCCGTATCTCTCAACAATCTTCAAGACGTATCTCCCGTGTGTCTTACAAAGAGGATTGGGCGAACCTTGACGAGTATGGCAAGCTTGTGAAGTACGTCTCGACCTACCGCGAGCCTGGCAGGGAAGAGGGTGTCGAGGAAGAACAAGTGAAGCGAGTGTGGTACGCTCCTTGGAAGAAGCGCAAGGTCAAAGTCAAGCAAGTAGATAAAGAACCGGGCCAATTTCCGCCAGAATGGCTCATTACAGACATTCGTCAAGGCCTGCCCAGCTCGGAAGTTCCTATCAGACGTCGTGCCTCAGGATGGAACGAACTCACATCTGAGAAGGAAAACCCGATCGCCAAGATCCTGTCCTATTTCAGAGGTCCAATTCTCTACGGTATGACCTATGACTTCGATTCGTCGAGACCTAAGTACAATGGCACTAATCATTCATCTTCACAGTCATGGAGTTGGCCGTCCTTCTTGCGGCAGGTCTGGATGACTGGATTGACTTTGGTGTCATTATCGGTATCTTGTGTCTGAACGCCTCAGTCGGTTGGTATCAGGAAAAACAGGCTGCCGACGTTGTTGCCAGTTTGAAGGGAGATATTGCCATGAGAGCGACAGTCGTTCGTGACGGTCAGCAACAAGAGATCTTGGCCCGAGAGCTTGTTCCTGGTGATGTGGTATGTGCCCCACCATAGCATAAGCTGTCTTTTCTTCGTACTACCTGCTGAGGCCCCTTTCTAGATCATTGTTGGTGAAGGTCAAGTGGTTCCTGCTGATGCAAAGATTATCTGCGATTACAATGACCCCAATGGTTGGGAAGAATTTCAAAGAATGCAGGAACAAGGCGATCTCAGTAGCACTTCTGAGTCCGATGTCGAGGAAAATGAGAAAGAAGGCAAGGAAGGGGAGGATGAACAGCAGTCCTCCAGAAAACGCAGTCACCCCATCCTTGCCTGCGATCATTCGGCCATTACAGGAGAGTCTCTTGCTGTCGATCGCTATATGGGTCAAGTGATCTACTATACCACCGGTTGCAAGCGCGGCAAGGCCTACGCAGTTGTCCAGAGCGGTGCGAGGACCTCTTTCGTTGGCAAAACCGCCTCTATGGTTTTGGCAGCTAAGGGGGCCGGGCATTTCGAAATTGTCATGGACCAGATTGGTACATCCCTTTTGGTTATTGTCATGGCATGGATTCTGGCTGCCTGGATTGGAGGCTTCTTCCGCCATATCCCCATTGCTTCGCCTCCCCAGCAGACGCTTCTTCACTATACACTGTCGCTACTGATTATCGGTGTCCCCGTCGGTCTTCCCGTCGTTACCACCACCACTATGGCTGTTGGAGCAGCGTATCTGGCAAAGAAGAAGGCTATTGTGCAAAAACTGACTGCGATTGAATCACTTGCTGTAGGTTGAATTCTTCACTCCGGAATGGATTGAATAGCGTGCTAAAAGCAATGATCACAGGGCGTCGATATCCTCTGTTCTGATAAAACGGGAACCTTGACGGCCAACAAGTTGAGCATTCGAGAGCCATATGTGGCAGAGGGTGTGGACGTCGACTGGATGTTTGCCGTGGCCGCCCTGGCATCATCTCATAATATCGAATCGCTTGATCCCATCGATAAGGTTACCATTCTCACGCTCAGGCAGTATCCTAGAGCAAGAGAGATTCTTCGACGGGGTTGGAAGACGGAAAAATATATCCCATTCGACCCCGTTTCGAAGCGAATCGTGACCGTGGCCACCTGTGATGGAATCAGGTATACCTGTACCAAGGGTGCCCCCAAGGCAGTGCTTACCCTTACCAACTGTCCTAAAGAAGTTGCCGATGTCTACAAGAACAAGGCACAGGAATTTGCCCACAGAGGCTTCCGATCCTTGGGTGTTGCAGTTCAGAAAGAGGGAGAGGATTGGACGCTTCTCGGTATGCTTCCCATGTTCGATCCACCCCGGGAAGATACCGCGCATACGATCAATGAAGCCCAGAATCTTGGAATCAGCGTCAAGATGCTTACAGGTGATGCATTGGCTATTGCCAAGGAGACATGCAAAATGCTCGCACTGGGAACCAAGGTGTATAATTCCGATAAGCTCATTCATGGTGGCCTCAGTGGCGTCATGGCAAGTGATCTGGTTGAAAAAGCCGACGGCTTCGCGGAAGTCTTCCCAGAACATAAATATCAGGTGGTGCAAATGCTCCAGGAACGAGGACACCTGACGGCCATGACTGGTGACGGAGTGAACGATGCGCCGTCGTTGAAGAAAGCTGATTGCGGTATTGCGGTAGAAGGCGCAACCGAGGCAGCGCAATCTGCGTCGGACATTGTGTTCTTGGAGCCCGGATTGTCTACCATCATTGACTCGATCAAGGTGGCTCGGCAGATTTTCCACCGCATGAAGTCCTACATCCAGTATCGTATCGCGCTTTGCTTGCACCTGGAGATCTACCTGGTGACGTCCATGATCATCCTCAACGAAAGCATCCGCGTCGAGTTGATTGTCTTCCTTGCTCTTTTCGCTGATTTGGCTACTGTAGCAGTGGCCTATGATAATGCCTCCTTTGAACTGCGTCCTGTGGAGTGGCAGCTTCCTAAGATCTGGTTCATCTCCGTACTCCTGGGCCTGCTGTTGGCGTTGGGTACCTGGGTCGTGCGCGGTACCATGTTCCTTCCATCCGGCGGTATCATCCAGAACTGGGGCTCTGTCCAGGAAGTCCTTTTCCTGGAAGTCGCCCTCACCGAGAACTGGCTCATTTTCGTTACTCGCGGCGTGGAGACTTGGCCGTCCATCCACCTGGTCACTGCCATTTTGGGTGTGGACATCCTGGCCACCATTTTCTGCTTGTTCGGTTGGTTCTCGAACGAGACAATGCCGACCAACCCGGCCGACTCGTTCGTCGAAACCCGCAACGGCTGGACGGATATTGTCACCGTCGTCCGTGTCTGGGGCTTCTCGCTCGGTGTGGAGATTGTCATTGCGCTCGTGTACTACATGCTCAACAAGTTCAAGTGGCTCGAGAACCTTGGCCGAGCCAAGCGAGACAAAGGCGATATCAAGATTCAGAATCTGCTCGGTCATCTGGCTCGGTTGACCGTCGAGTACGATCAGCCCGGTCAGCCCAAGGGTCGCTTCTTCCTTACATCGAGCAAGGAAGAAGAGGAGGCCGAGTAGATGCAATTTCTCTAGTCTGGCTAGGTATAAAGATGTTGCTTCGTCTCTGCTAAGGTGGATGGTCGTGTCACAAGCGGGGATGCGTCCTGGTCTGGGGAGTGTGAAGAAAAAAATTAATGCTAATATTATGATTTGGGGGGCGAGGAAGAGACTGTGGTTGTGCAATAATTAGTAATACGTGAATGTTGGAAGAGGGTAATTCCATATACCCATGTTGCACACTTTAATATCAGAAGCTTGAATAAGACTTCGGAATACTATCGTCTCTAACCCTGTAGAACTAATGATATGTAGGTTCATGGCATACGTCTTGATTAGGCACGACGGACGCGCTCCCATAGCTTCTCCAGATCGCTTCCCATGCGTCTCTCTGCTTCCTTCTCCATGGCCCGTTTGGAAGGCAGAGTCCGCTTGGACACGGCAGCCCGGGATTCCTCGCGGGCCATTTCGACTGTTGATAGGGACATTAGTGATCCGCCCAAGTTCAACATCTGTAGAGGGGGAAAGATACATACCGTGAACAAAGACAGCAGCTCTCTTCCCGCTGAACATGGCATGCGGCACGTTGGTGCTCCCATCGCTATTGGCATCGCCGACAGCGAACACACCCGGCAGGCTCGTCCGCATCCCATTGATATTGGTGTCGATCTTGTTATCCTGCATCTTCAGACCGAGATCCTCGGGAATGGACGAGCGCTGCTCCGAGGGGAAATTTGTAATGAAGGCATTGCGGGTGACGGAGGAGCCATCGGCGAGGTTAACCCTGAAGATATCGAACTGGCGGCCCTGGTCATCATGGACGTCCTCGCCGTTCTGCACGCGCTCAATGGACTCGATAGTCTCGTTGTTTAGCACGACGTTGTACTCCTCGAGCTGCTTCTTCCAGTTGGGGTACTTCTCCGCCAGCTTGGCCTCGGCCTCGGGGGTCTGCGTGCCGTTCACGAAGGCGATGATGTCCGTGTTGAGCGTGTACACTTCCAGCACGCTGCCCACGACGTCGACGAGGGAGCCCAGGATCCCGAAAGGCTGGTCGCGGTGCTCCCACCCGTCGCACCAGGGGCACCAGTACACGCCTTTGCCCCAGGCTTCGTCCAGTCCGGGCGTCTCCGGCAGGATGTCCTTCATGCCGGTGCCGAGGATGAGCTTGCGGGCTGTGTAGGCTTCGCCGGCTACCGAGGCGCGGAAGTAGGTGGTGTTTCGCTCCTCGTCGGTGATGGCGCGGACCGAGTCGACTTTTTCGTTCACCCAGGTCGTCTGGTTGTACTTGGAGATTTGGCTGCGGGCAAGTGCGCGGAAGTCGCTGGGGACGGCGCCTGCGAATACCGACGTTAGTCTGCACAGCCTCTAGAAAGCTGGGAAAAGGGGACGGCTACCGTCGTTGCCAATGACATCGTGCATGTTCCTTGTCGGAGCATTACGATACTCGCCCGAGTCGAACACGATGTTCTTGCGGCGCACCCGCGACAAACCACTGGCGGCGCTCAGGCCAGAGGGGCCTCCACCGATGACCATCACCTCATAGTCAGTGTGGGGGACTGACGCCGCCAGAGCGACGGCAAGGGAGGAGAAGAGGGTGTACAGAAGAGACTTGGGAGCCATCCTGACGATGCGGTAGAGAAGCGATGGAGGAAGATCAGCGACTTGGGAAGCTCTACCTATCCATCTGGGCTCAAGGACCACTTAAATAGGCGATCTCAGCAGGGAGGGCCAGAAGCACGATGCAAGATAAGTGGGTGGTCAGGATCGCAATCGACACGACGACATCGTGCATCCATCCTTTTCTTTCTTTTTTTTCAAAATTCAGGACTCAGCCAAGGAAAGAACCTCAGCTGCAGTGGCTGGCTAGCAAAACGGATCGACATCTGCACGGCCAGGACGAGAACTTGGAATTTCATGGCATGGCATAGTCCGCACGGGCGGATCTTATATTGCTTTTTTCTCCCTGATATCCACTTTGGTTTACTTATGAGGTTATCCACAGGCCGGCTGGCCCTAAGCAAAGGTGCAACGAATGTCAGACAGTGTACGGGGCAGACACAAACAAAACTCTTGGAAAATAGTTTAACAGTAGTTTTCTGACAATATTCATGACGTAGCTTACAGATAGGTACCATCTCAGAGGGATACCTGCCTCTCGTTGACCCGAGCAGAGAGAGAAGCATGCATGTGTGTGACAAATCTGCAGTTTGCATAACTACGTAGTAACTCCACAGCAGAGTGGTATTGACTATTGAGGGATGATCAGCTTCAATGAGTAGAGAATGCATTTAACAGGGGCTGGCTGGTACCGCAAGTTCGCAATCGTGTATCCAGTCTAAGTTGGAGGAGGCAATATCTGCAGGAAGATCGGCAGGGCTGAGAATCAATAGTTCGTCCCACAGACTGCACATCTTCCAGTAGTCAGTCAGCCTACATAGTAGTTTCCAAGTTAATTTGAGCGCTGATTACACAGTACGGAGTAGATAGAGGGACATTTAACTATGTGTTTTCATTTGGTCTTGTCGCAATTTAGTTGACTGCACGGTCAAGGCGATATTCCCATTGACTAAATTAATTTATATATGCAACCATTCAGCAGTACATCAATCACTTCAAAATGAACATGGCAAAAATAGACATATAAACAATCAAACCCCTCCATATGTCGATCTTCGACTAAACATGTGCAGGTAAGAAACGTCACACCCCGAGTTTTAAGCAACCTCTGCGACCCTTCAAAACCAGCCGTAAGGTCGATAGCTGAACGAACGGCGAATGCGGGACGCAGACTTGCCCAACGCCTGGGCGACACCGTCAAGGAAGCCCTTGTTGCCGTAGGCCTGGGTGACATCCCACATCATCACGCCGCCAAAACTGCTAAAAGTCTTGCTGTATTCGATGATCGGCTTCAGAGTATCTACGGGCACGTAGCCTGAGCCTGCTGCCCCAGTGTTCGCCGGCACGCCCAGGAATACCTTGGCCTTCTTGTTCTGGGAGACCGTCTTGGCCCAGTTGTCCCAGACGTCGAAATTGAAGCTGTTCTGCTTGCTTGCTCCGGCCTCAAAAGAATTCAATCCACACCAGTTGTTGTAGAACTGGACGAACACAGCGTCAACGGACACCGGACCATTGAGTATATCCTTATCGGCGGCGTCGGGGTAGGGGCATTGGGGTGCAGCCGTCAAGAAATATTGTTTGCTATGATCGGCATCCATCAATTCGCGAAGCCTGTTCGCGAAGGGAGCAACATTACTGACGGAGGCCTCGAAATCAAAGTCAAATCCGTCTACCGACGCATTCCCGAACGGCCGACGGGCCGTCGCGTTGACGGAGGGAGGTCCAAAGGTCTGCCAGACCAATTCGGCGCCAGCCTTTGCAGCGGATTCTGAACTGAAGCCTCCTTCACTGTATGTGGCCCCGCCAATAGAAAGCAGAATGGTCTTTCCTTTCTTCTGACACGCCGTAATATCCTCCCTAAATGGGCTGTTAGCGTTTCAGTTGTAAAAAAAGCACGACAGCGCGGAGCTCACCCAATCTGAGGGCATTTGTGAAGGTTGGTGTCTTTGAAGAGTGTACAATTGTCGTTCGCATTGGAAAAGTCGATTTCAGGAACGCCCCCCTGGCCGTTGATTCTCATGAGAAATGCGAGTTCAAAAACCTGAAAGCATCGTGAGCTGAGACATCATCTGAGCTTTATATCATCCCATACATCTATCTTAGGGTCTAATGAGGTTTCCATCAGCATATTGGCTAGAAATATCCAAGCATGAATGACTCACCATCACAATAGTACGAAAGACGCTGCTGCGCCAAATCTCCAGTACCCTGAAAAGAATTCTGACCTGTGACCGATAACGTGTTTACCAGATCAATCAGAGATTCCCAGCATCACACGGAAGGCTGAGACATACCCCAGTATACTGCCACATTGGAGGAAGACGAGAGATCAAGTTTGGCATACACTCCTTCCAGAGAAGCTGCCGCTGCCGTCAAGGCAAGCAGTTGTGCTAGAAAAGACATGGTGAAAAGGACAGACAGATTGAAGTATTTTCAGTCAAAGCGTGAAATGCTTGCCTACGAAGTCAAAAGAATGTAGGCAGTATTCAAAAGATAGGACGGGGCTGAAGGCAAGCCCCCGAGGTCCAAATGCACACTGGATGACCTGATAGAATGGGTATCAGTGCTCAGTCAAGCTATCATTCAAATTGAGAATGACAGACATACTTATAGCTTCTTATTGCCATTATTGCCAATGTCAATATATGTTGACCAAGCCGGTTCCCCCTTCGACTGACCAGACATTCCTTCCTCTTGGTGCCTTTGATCTTCGAAAGTGTCATACTGTCAGCTCATCAAAACAGAATGCCAAATGCAATCAATAACCTGTTTTTTCAGGTATCTAGTGCCCTCGATTGGTGTAGACATGGGCCATGGCATTCCAGAGGGTTGTTCGGGGGACTCATGCTGCCTGAGGAATGCTGGACTTTCTGGTTCGGGCTCAAGCTTGCAATATTAGTGACAACTGACGACATATGCTGACGACGCCGTGGCTGCGGAAGCTCAGACAGAATTTTGATGGCATGGAGTTCGTCAGTGAAATTAAGAACGTGGTGTTGCATTAGATCGCCGCGGTCACAAGATAAACATCCCAGAGAAAGTCGATTTTCAATTAACAGAGAATCAGCATTAAGACCGACGCGCTGCTATACTTTGCCTGCAGGTATGGATTCTCATTAGAGGATATTCCTTGAATATCTAGCCACGTGCTGTGGTAGCTGCACGAGGATACCCACAGAATCAGATCTATGGCGGCAAAAGGAGAGGCATTGAACCGCTACCATGCCCCCTGTGACGTTTTCTCGCAGGATATTAGTGAGAAGCGCCGTGTGTAGTTTCGAAGGAAGACCGGATTTTGTGTCCGATGTAACTTTGCACTACTGAGGACTAAACAACATATCATGCTTGTAACCCACATGGCCCTGGGAGATCACCGGGGGATGCCAATCACCCTCTCGGCGGCTTCATCGTTCGACATCCCGGGGTCAATGACCCCAGCAACCTTGAGGACGTCCACAACCCCGTCCACAACCTTCCGGTCCACACCCCTTGTACTGCTGGTAAATCTGACATCCTTCAGCCACTCCTTTGCATCTTCTTCAATGTACGTGCATCCCAATTCTCCTGTACCCAGAAGCCTCACGACATTATCATGGTCGGCCTGGAAATCCTTGATACCTTGGTCCAGCGCCTGAAACAATTGCTGGAGTTTCTCGTCATGTTCGGGGTCGGGGAAGACCGAGGTGGACGCGACAATAAGCCAGGATGGCCATGGGGTGAAAATCTCCCCGATCTTCTTCAGTGGCGGGTGCGGCTTGTCCGCGTCCGCGTGGAAGTACGGCTTCGTGGTAAAATGCTCCCACATGAAGAACTCAGCCGCGGACGTGGGTTGATCAGGGTGCGAGGAATCGTACCCCGTGACCCCATTCCGCAAAGCCTGGAACGGACCAAGGACAGCCGGTGTCAATGATTCCGGTTTCCAGCCTTGCTTCTGAGCCAGTACGAAGGACATGATGTGGGAGCCACTGTGAGACAAGTCAGTCATCTATATCCGGAGGAATCACGTCCAAGGCAACCCAACTGACCTTCCGAGGCGACTGACACCAACTCTCTTATCCTTCAGATCTGCCACAGTGTGAAGCTCCTCTCTTTCCCGGCCGGTGACAATGGCCCACCGCAGCGGTGTATCAACCCAATGGCCAACCACCTTGTAACCCCCCGAGGCAGCATCCTTCTGAGCCTGCTGCTTACCAGCCAATCCAGCAATCCATCCCTCGGTCAGCCCAATTGCGACATCAATCTCCTTCTCCCGAAGGGATGAGATCATGTGCCCCGTTCCTGAAGGGAATGGAACCAACGTGATCTTGAATGGAAGAGAGGAGGCTGCTGGCGAGCGAAGAGCCAGGTGGAGAGGAGCGAGGTAGTGCTCTACATGTTGTCAGAGAAGAATTTCAATATAGGTATCGCGATAAAATATGCGATGTCAAGTCTATTGTCGGTTGAGCATATTTTATGTAACGGAGTCATCGGCACCGCGAGTTGCGCCCATTATGTCAAATGACAAGCAGAGCAGACGATGGAGAAAATGAAGTCGATGACAGGGAAGGATGGCTTACCAGGCACGTAGCCGATTCGGATTGAGGCCATGATTGTAGTTAGTAGGTATGGTCTGTCGCCAGGAATAGGCGAGCGATAGTGATGTTACTTTTTATTTGACCTCTCACTTTTGACGAGTCAAGACAACTTGAAGCTTGTTTCCTTAAGCGGGGTAACCGCGGGGAGCCGATTGTATCATGAATGGCCCGCGCTAGCAGTTATCAGCAGTAGTCACGTAACAATGGAGTCAAGCCTGTCATACGGATCAACCAAGTGAAATAATTATGGATTGCAAGGAAAAGCACTTCAATCCTATTGATATTAGGTCAATCGTGGATTTGTCTATTCGTTCTACATATCTATATTAAGTTGACCTCCTGCGCAAGGTCTGTATTAAGTATATCTACAATGCATCATGCTCTCGTGGGCATTATCAGAAAGCTGTCATCATAACTTAGGTCATCCGTATGTCTTTCTCCTCGGCTGGCCAGCTGGCGGTGTTATGCCTAGGGCCGCCCGCAGCCCTGAGTGTATGCCGCGCATACATCCAGAATTGTAACCCGAGGTAGAGATCACAGACGCACTGGAACATACCGCATATTCGAAAAGCCCAGGGAATCACTTCTTTGCTGCAGAAGAAGTAACTCATTTTCATCACATCACCAAGAATCCAAGCCGCCAGCACCGAAACCCGGAATCCTTTGCACGAACGAGTCTGGTGATTGGCAACAATCTGAGGGAGCGGTAGGATAGCTTCTACAGCCAGACCAGCATAACCCAGGAGGTTCACATAGAAGTCCGACCGAGCAATGGGCGGCAGAAGGATCTGGACGAATGATAGTGCCCCGACAAAATAGGCCAGGAACATCCAGTACCTATGTAGATTCAAAGTCCGTTAGCATCGAACCCGCATACCTCGTTTAGAAAGCGATGGGGAACAAGACTTACGGCTTTGCGGACTTCCACTGCCAGAATTCGTATGGTCTGGCAAAACCCTTCTCGTCCAAATTGCTAAACGGAACATGCTCCACGCTATTCTTGGCTCCTGGAGACGGCCGGTTATCCAGTGCAACTTTGAGCAAGACGATCTGGACCCCAATCATGATCACGGCTTGTACGAGCAGCGAGAGCGAGTAGTAGTGACCGAACCAGTAAAACACCCTAAAGACAGGAATGTCAACGTCATCGTGCATTGAGATGAGCCAGCCGCGGTTAACACAGGTGCCCTTCTTACTTCAGGATGGATGCGACGAGCATGATCAAAGGGATATCAAGGGAGAAACCTCCCGAATTCCTTGATCGATGTATACTGAGGATCTGATCCGTATAGGACGTGAGGGGGGACGTCATAAGACTATTTCATACGAATGTCCGCAGTTAGCATTCCAATGCCACTTGAAGGCCCGAGTCGCAGCTCTCCAGAGAGTCTGAGTTACGATAAAAGGGAACGAACAACAAGGGGGCTCCATATTCAAGAGCCAGTGATATAAGATACATGGTGTATCCGATCAGTGAAGAAGAGTATCCGATGTCCAGAAGAGGTTGTAGTAATTGATCGAATCGCTTGTCGGGTGCTCTCTGCAGTAAGCGGGAACTCGCGGATTTTCGAGAGGATGATGATTGAGCGATGATATAGGGGTCGCCAAAAACAGAGATGGTCGAGCAGAGGATATGACAGTATCTGATGGACTCAAGAGCTCTTCATGGGACGAGGATGTTGATTATATCGAGCAGATTGAATCCAAGACGCTTGTTGGCGTATCGCAATGCGCAAAATAATAAAACGGGGACAAAGCCAAGCACTGCTGCAGAGATCAATCACGAATAAACTCCTTGGAAAACATCTGCCAGGGCCGAAAGCGTCTTGTCTTGTTTTGGATCTGCTTAGCTCAGCGGCCCCATTACACTTACCTATTCTGGTTTAGTGCACTTCATCGAACCCTCATTGCCTGGAGTTTCAGGCATCACATCCTAGGGTATAGTTACAAGAGGAGATGAGATAAGTTTTGAGCTTCGAAGTCAATAGTATTATTATTCCTGCCTGCTCCGCACTAGTACCATGGAACGCAGGTAAACAGAATATCATTCACTTTGCATAGTGTATGTTTGTCATTCCAATCATGTGTATATACTCCGGTTTAACACAAACTCTAGAATTCAATCTTCCATGTCTTTCCAATGCCAACATCGGGTTTCTTCACCACAGCATACGCGGCCTTGCCTGCGTGCTGGGCGTGATACTCCAAGGGTGCGGTAGAAGCCATCTTTGCACCGTCTTCGATGACAGTCACGGACGCCCTTCCCTGCCACTCCTTGGGAGCGTCGACAACAACCACCTTTTCAACCCGGACATTCGCCATGCTCTTCAGGTACTCGGCTGTCTTCGAACCCTTGGTTCCGATGTCTTCCGACGAAAGGGTAGATTTTTCGAATTTGAAGCGACGGTGTATGTATCCACCCTGCTCGTAGTTGAACGTCTCCCCATCATCAACATAGAGTGTGCCTTCGGCCTTCCCGTTCTTGTCGAGGACGATCACAAGTGTATAAGGATCCCACCTCATCAGCCCGCTGCTACGACGTGCGCGGTCCTTGCGAGGGATAATATGACCACCCTGCATCAACAACGGGACCTTCTCAATGGGGGCAGGCACCGTATGTCTCTTGCCCGCTCCTTGGTAGACAGTAAAATCATAATAATCGTAGTACTTCTCATCGTCAGCGATGTAGATGTCTGTAGTGGTGGCACCCTCCGCAACCACAGGTTTGGTCAGCAGGCCAGTAGATCCAAGGTAGAGTTGGTCATCGATGGCAAAGCCTTGTTCGTCCGCCGGGTGGACATAATACTGGGGCCGGACAATGGGCATTCCATTCACGGAAGCTTCATGGAATGCAGTGTACCATGCAGGCAGCAGTTGATATCTCAGACGGATAGCCTGGGATATGATCGACCTGTATGGCTCAGCGATCAAGTAGGGCTCTCGTCTGCGAGTGTCAATGTGCGCATGGGCACGGAAAAAGGGATACCAAATGCCGGTCTGATACCACCGGGTCAAAAGTTCCTTGCTTGGGTTCTGGAAAAACCCGCCAACGTCGGCACCAGCAAACGGGAACCCGGCAATGCCGTTGTTCAATACCATAGGCAAGGATGCGGCCAGGTGTTCCCAGGTGGCTTGATTGTCTCCCGTCCACATAGCAGATACCCGTTGAGCCCCGGCGTAGAATGATCGGGTCAAGACGAAGGGTCTACGAACCACGCCTTTCTTTCGCTCCAGCAAGGCATTGTATGTTGCGTTGACAAAGGTCAGTCCGTTGACATTGTGCACGTCGCGGTGTTCCCAGTTGCCATAATGGATATTGTCCTTGGGCATAGTGGTCTCCGGTCCATTGAAGACGGAGGGCTCATTCATGTCATTCCAAATAAAGACGTTCGGCTGGGTGCCCTTGAATTTGTCGTACTTGAACAGACCAGTCCACCATTTGATTGCTTCGGGATTGAAGCAGTCCACCCAGTGAGATGAGCCAGGCCAACACCAGCCGTCGTAGATCTCCCCGTCCTTATTCTTGGTAGCTAGATCCTTGCCCTTCAGCTCTTCAGAGATGGGGTATCCCTCCTTGTTTTTAATGTGCGGATCAATGATCACCACGAGTTTGCGCTCAGAGTCATCAAGCTGCTCTTCCATACCCTTTGGGTCAGGAAAACTCAGAGGGTCCCAGGTAAAGTACTTCCTGTCATCCGTGTACTCAATGTCGAGCCAAATCACGTCGTAAGGGATCTGATACTTGTCAAACTTGCGATCAACTTCCTTGACATCCTCGTCCGTGACATAGTTCCAACGACACTGGTGGTAAGCGATAGCAAACTGTTGAGGTAGTTGAGTGTAGCCGGTAAGTTGACCGTAAGTTTTGCTGATCTCTTGCGGAGTGGGGCCCAAGAAGACAAACAAATCAATACGTCCCGACTCGGAAAACCAATGGGTTTGAGTGTCTGTCTTCGAACCTACTCCAAGAGAAAGAGGGTTGGGCGAGGATTTCGACTTGACGATGTCGACCCAGGTCTCCGCAGCGTTGAGCCAGAAGACACCCACAGTAGAGTCCTTCTTGTGAGCCTGCATGAACGGAATGGCGCCATAGAGGGTCATGGGGCTGTTGAGCTCATACTCAAAGACGTCCGCATTGTACATGCGATAAGGTTCCGCATGATTTCCATCACCGCCCCTTCAAATTGATCAGCTTTGCGTCTCTAGAGTGGCGGGGACATGTAACACCTACCTAGTTTCCTTCAGAGACATCGAGTCGGCATGCTCTGGAATCCCAAAAACATGGCTGTAGCCAGGGAATGTGATGTCCAGGCCGATACTTTCTGGACCTTTTGGCTTGGAGTCGGTGTTTCCACCAAAAGTTTCCTCCCACCAAGTGCTTTCATCTTGCTGAGATTCTGATTTTTCCTGAACACTATCACCCTCTGCCACATCCACCTTTGGCCGCCAGTGTTCCACGTTGAGGTAGCCCTTGTGATTCACTTGGACATGGCTCTGGCCATCGCGTTGAAAATCGACGCTGAACGGCGCATGGCGAATGATCGCCTGAAACTTGTTATCCGGCCCGTACAGTACCTTTGTGAATCCAGTCTCGGATTCTGTGTCCACAGCGGCAGTTTTGCTCGATTCCAAACCACCCACCAGCGCCCATTGCTCTGCTTCGTTGTATCGCTCTTTGCGCACTTGGCTGTTGTGTCGGAGGTCAATTTCGCCCTTCATCCGCTTCTCTTCGTCGACCACGATGCGCGTAGCTCCTGACTCCAGGAAAGAAATCACAAGTGGCAGCTTGACTTTCTCATTGGCAAATATGGACTTGAGAATTGTCCCGTGCAATTGGCCATCTTTGAAGTGAATTGAAGAGGGATCGAGTTCATATGGTGAAATCCAAGACGCGCCTTGGGCGGAAACGTCATCTGCAAAAGCTCGGTTCCGCTTACAAAACCCCGATTGAGAGCATTTCTTGAAGTTCTCATGCTTCACAGTAACTGGCAGACCTGGTCAGATGGCGATACCGTTGGAATAACTTGAGTGCATAGAGCTCACCTCCGGGTACAACAAGACACCCGAGAAGGACAACCAACGCGAGCAATAGCGTCCATCTGGAGAGAGACGAGCTGCTCCGGGCCATGTTTGAGTGAATCGATGCAATCAGAGTCACTCAACCTCTGAAAGTATCGTAAGTATAAAACTTTCAGTGCTGACCTGCATCTACCAGAGCTGGAGGCCAACACGAATAATCCTGAACAGATAACGCCGGTGATGATTCCAGGCTGGCCAGATTGGCAGATCGGGGGGAATTCGGGGTAAGCTAACAGCCAACTTGGGTTAGCGTGGCGCTAGTACGAATAGGAACTAGGCAACCTAAGGTTAGGTATCTTATTATATAATTAGCTGAAACCTGAAACCTGAGGCATACAGGCATCCAGTCTGCCCCTCCTGCCCCACTCGGTCTCGCAGTCCCTATTATAATTTCGCCAACTCACCGAAAGTCTACCTCTTCTTCTTTTTCACTGAGCTGTCAACTACCTCAATCGTTCTTCAGTATCTCCAACATCTCTTATCAATCTCTCAAAATGTCCAACGAGCAGACGTAAGTTACATTTCCATCGCACTTCCAAGCTCAATCCCAAGCTTTTCCCTTCTTCTTCTCCAACGCTGCTTCGGGTGCGAGCAAAGCTAATCAATTCCTGCAGCTTCATTGCCATCAAGCCCGATGGTGTCCAGGTATGAGGCTATGGCCGTCTTGCTGATGTTCAATGGCCTACACACCTCGAATGAGCACGGAACTGACTTGATCATCCTTTAGCGCGGACTCATCGGCCCCATCATCTCTCGCTTCGAGAACCGTGGGTATGTATTTCTGAGACTCAATGGCTATTGCTTGCGCTAATTGTGCACAGCTTCAAGCTCGTTGCCATGAAGCTGGTCTCTCCTCCCCAGTCCCAGCTTGAGCAGCACTACGCCGACCTCTCCGACAAGCCCTTCTTCAAGGGTCTTGTTTCCTGTGAGCTTCCCTTCCACATGACAAACTGAAGGCTTGTTTCTTTATGAAGGTAACTAACCACTACATATAGACATGCTCAGCGGCCCCATCTGCGCCATGGTCTGGGAGGGCCGTGATGCCGTCAAGACCGGCCGTAGTAAGTTTCCATCAATCGATGTGTTCCAGACATGCGACGAGCATATACTAATGGTGCGACAATAGCCATCCTCGGTGCCACCAACCCTCTTGCCTCTGCTCCCGGCACCATCCGTGGTGACTACGCTATCGTAAGCTCAATTGAGACCACAATATCATAGTTTGTCGCTGACATTGCATTAGGACGTCGGCCGCAACGTCTGCCACGGTTCCGACAGCGTCGAGAACGCCAAGAAGGAGATTGCCCTCTGGTTCAAGCCTGAGGAGCTCATCTCCTGGAAGAGCGCCGCGTTCGACTGGATCTACGAGAAGGCTTAAATTTCTCCGTTCGACCTTTTGTCTGGACGTCTGCAATCCGTTACAGCTGAGGGTGTAGGAGGCAGTGTATGACATGCATCAGAAAAGTCCCAAGAGAAATAAAAATATACAGAACCCCTATGGTGCCAATGGCCTCACTTGCGTCTCGTATCCTTCGCCGATCTGGGAGTAGTGCAGATAATTACTCGTTGGGGAGATTTGCATTGAAGGTTCCATCACAAACTACTTTTTCCCAAGAAGAGCCCCGACGCCCCTGCCTACCGGAGCGAGAACAGATCTTGCAAACCATGGCGTTGCCCATGCACTAGCGACTATCCTTACGGGTAGTAGAGCTTTCGTGATTGCATAGGCAGTCGCGAACTCAAGCACAAGACGAACGCCTTTTCTGTCTTCCGGCCTCAATTGAGATTGACCGGGCGATCCAGTAGTAGAATCATTGCCCGAAGCAGACCCGTCGGACTTCACAATATCCACGTCAGCATCCTCCACCCAACCTTTCTTTCGCAGCCAGCGACCGAATCGTTGGACTCCTTCGTCAAAGCCGCTTTTTGAGGTGAAATCCGGCAACCAATCTCCGTAATGGAACGAAGCGACCAGCCCGAGCAAAGGAACGATGGCTGTAATCTCGTGTAGTATCAAAAAGGACGTTATATGTGTACCAGGGGCCCCCAGTAACGGGTTTGTATAGGAGCGTAAAAACGGTGGAAGACGATCATTCAACCTGCGGAGACGAGAGCGGTAGTCATTCGGACCTGCTGAGGGCGGTGTCGCCAGGCCACGCCGAAAGCACGAATTGGCGCGCAACGATGGACGAAAAAGACGCGAAGCTGAAGTCGCTAATGAACGCCATAAAGCCATCTCACCCACGCTGTCAATACCTAGTTAGACCCGACTTGAAGTGGTTATGGCGAGTTCAACTGAGGTAGAGAAGGTTTATTGCTGGCTCTTGGAAAGACTTTCAGTTCTAAATTCAAAAACAATGGCAGCGAGAGGTCAATGCCATTTCTGACTCCAGTGAGACTTCAAGGCTGGTCCTTGATTGATGATTCCTCGCCATCTCCAACAGACTCGTACAGCGACATCGACAGAGCTTGGACAGGTTTGTCTTGTTTGCATTCTGCACAGCCATATACAATGTAGTGGACAAGACTAAGGTATTGTTGCGTATCGGAAACGAGACATTGAAGGATGCTAATTAACGATCTGAAGATCGCAAGGCGTAGCAAGTGTCATGGTGTAGCCCCTAGCTTCCTGGAGAAAGAATGAGCTGTAAAGGACGTCGTCAAGCTCTCGTTGGACTGACCATGGTCGGCAATCGTGCGTGTTTCCGTATCCGTTGATCGGAGGGGCCAAGTCCTTCCCTCCCGCATGCGCTGGCTCAAGTTCTCCTCCATCACCTTCAAGTATCCCCGTTATTTTTCTCACCACAGAGGAGAAATTCGGGTCAAGATGGAAAAGATCACAGACAAGATCGCGGCATTGCCGCCAAACGAGAATTACTTTTCTCTCGAGTTCTTCCCTCCCAAGACGCAGATGGTGGGGTATCCCCGCACTCTTCTGACTTTTCTGACGATGCGACCAGTTACTGATGATATTTTGAATATTGTAGGGCTTCTCCAATCTACAGGCTCGTTTAGAGCGCATGTCACAAGCACTACGTCCCTTGTTCGTTACCGTCACTTGGGGAGCCGGTGGAAGCACTGCCGCTAGGTCGCTGGAGCTCGCAGAAATCTGCCAGCGTCAATTGCAGTTAACAACATGCCTTCATCTAACATGCACAAATATGAGTCGAGCGTTGATCGATGAGGCCTTGGAGGAGGCCAAGGTTCTCGGAATTCGAAACATCCTGGCGCTTCGCGGCGACCCGCCACGCAGTGAAGAGTACAACATGCACGGAGAAGATGATAGCAACAAAGACTTCACGTTCGCGGTGGACTTGGTACGATACATTCGCAAGAAGTACGGTGATTACTTTTGCCTGGGCGTTGCTGCGTACCCCGAGGGGCACCCGGTCGATTCTTACCAGGACGTACAGGATCCAGTGAGGGATCTACCATATCTGGTTGAGAAGACCCTGGCCGGTGCGGACTTCATCATGACTCAGTTGACATACGACATTGACGCCTACACAAAGTTTGAGCAAATGCTACGAAACCACGAGTCCGGTGCTTTCAAAACCATCCCAATCATTCCTGGGTTGATGCCTATTCACAGCTACAAGATTCTGACAAGAACAACGAAACTGAGTCATGTCAAGATTCCCCCACAGATCATGTCGAAACTGGAAGCAGTGAAACATGATGATGATGCTGTGAAGCGCATCGGCGTGGATGTTCTCAGTGATTTGGTTGAGGCTATCAAGAAGATACCCTGCCCTGGATTTAGGGGCTTTCACTTTTACACATTAAACCTTGAAAAGACAGTTTCTTTCATCATCGAACGATGTGGTTTAATACCTGACTATCCAGAAGACACTGATGCTGTTGTGGACGACGACTACACTACTGCTCCCACTGGAGCTCAGAATCGTTCTCTATCCCGGCGCAGGGCTTCGTCGGTTAACTCACTTCCACATAATCGTGTCATTGTCGACAGGTTACAGGTGCCCTCAGACGGGTCATCGAGAGCATCGACACATGAGGCGCCCGCCGCTAGCGCCGGAATGCCTGCGATGCCCCCAGATCGCAACACAACGCTCCAGATTTCGGAGGGTCAGGGAGCGCTCGGCAGAGAAGCGACGTGGGACGATTTCCCTAACGGTCGTTGGGGTGACGCTCGCTCGCCGGCTTTCGGAGAGATTGACGGGTACGGCCCTTCACTACATGTTTCGGGCGCTGTCGCGCGGCGCATCTGGGGCTACCCTGTGTCCCGCGAAGACATAAGTGCACTATTCCGTCGCCATGTCTCTGGCGACCTCTACATCGTTCCCTGGTCCGAAGGCGGGGCGGAAGAGAATAGCAGTGGCTTGAATGCTGAGACAGAAGTCATCCGACCCGAGTTACTGAAGCTCATTGACAGTAAAGGCTGGTGGACTCTGGCATCCCAACCGGCTGTCAATGGCGTCCGAAGCGACGATCCAACCTTTGGATGGGGTCCTCCGGGCGAAGGATTCGTCTTTCAGAAGCCATTCGTTGAATTCTTCTGTCCTAGCAAAGACTTCCAGACAGTGCTCAAACCACTCTTTGCAAAGCACGGCCATGAGAAGCTCGCATGGTTTGCAACCAACGTGAAGGGCGAATTCGAGTCCTCTCTTCCCGCTGACCCTGCCCATGCCGATACCATTGAGATGAATCCCAACAACGTCAACGCTGTGACGTGGGGTGTCTTCCGCGGCAAGGAGATAGTCACTCCAACCATCATTGAAGAAGTCAGCTTTAGGGCCTGGGGCGAAGAGGCGTTCCGTATCTGGGATGAGTGGCGCCGGGTCTATCCCCGTGGCACTCCGACCGAGCGCCTCCTTGAAGAAGTCAAGAACGACGTTTGGCTTGTGTGCGTCGTGGGGCAGGACTTTGGAGCCGGGACGGAAAACGGGTCGGAAGAAGAACAGCAGGAGATCAAGTGGATGTGGAATGTGTTGATCAACAGCCAGTGAGGTGTACAAGTACCTGGTTGTACGACGATCATACCAAGTCTGCTCCACCACGACAAGGGAATTGGGGAAGGCTTCGCCATGTTCGTATCATGTTTGCTCGGCCACTACCCGGATCAGAAATGTGGTTCTCTTCTACTTATGTGTGAGATGGACATAGCATGATATAGAAGGAATGAAGTGTGAATATCTAATGACATGAATGCAATGTTACGATTGTCTAGACTTTTCCTTGGATCATTCGCAAGTTAGTCGATGTGTGGGCGATTGTAGTACGTTACCACCAGCTCTCACCACCGTCGTGGAATGACAATGCCTCAAATCTGAAAGATAGAACAAGACCAACGCCACGGCGCCAGAAGCCTGGATTACGCTACCTTTTTGGACCTCTCCCTTTGACAGGACATTATATCATGACTGCTCTGACCCGCATCCTCGTCATCTCTCTAAACTTAAAAGAAGCCACGCCGTACCTGGATATTCTAAGAGGAGGTTTTCTGCGCAAAGCCATGTGCTTCTAGTCCATCAGCACCCGTATCGGGCGTGGCAATGGACGACTCCGACTCTGCGAATTTCTCCGCCGCGTCGTCGAGACGGCCATACACGCGGGGGAAGCGGCGGGGTTGGTGAGGTCCAGCTGCGGGGAGCTGGTGGCCACGGAGTCTGTATGCGGAAGGGTTAGTTGGTCAGAACATACCGGGTTTCACGTTGGGCAAGTCCGAGAGTTATACGCACCTGGGACCCTCGCCGGATTTCTCGGGTAATTCTGGGGCATAAACCCGGTGGAACATGTCGGCGTCTGTGTCGAAAGTTCCTCGCTCGATGCTTGCTCTAATGGCGGAAAAGAACTTGTCCATGGTGTGGTGGTTATGGATCTGGAGTAATGTCCATGCGAGCATTTCCTTTGCGGATAGTAGATGGTGGATGTAGGCGCGGTGGTGGTTTTTGCATGTGTAGCACTCGCAGGATGTGTTCAAAGGTGCTGTGTCTACTTTGAATGACGTGGACCACAGGTCGAATGCGAGAGGTCGAGGTTCGCTTGCAGTCGTCTCCACTGTGGATGGGGCTGGGAAGGTGAAATCCAAGGCTATTCCCGCGTCCGAGGTCGCCCCCAGGAATGGAATGGTGAAGATATCGGCGCCGAGAGATACCTGACGCAGAATGTCGTGTGGTGTAGCTGGATCACTGAAGAGTAGTCTGGGCAGGTTGCCTAGTTTCTCCGGGAGAAACGATAGCGATGCCGACTCGTGCAATGCGAGACCGGAGATGTGAGGGCGTAGCTCATGCTCAAGGTCGGCCAGGTAGAGCGATTGCTGCGTGTTCTCAAGAGGCAGCACCGGCGCAAAGTATGCCGATTTTGACCGACTTCCTTCTGGTACTGTTTGACCATAGAGCTGCTCCGTTGCATGCGAAGTGAATGCATGGGTTCTGTCAGCCATCTTAACCCTCCTCTTGGTGCCGGGAGTTTGTCCCTGGGCCAAGTCTGCTAATCCCACCACGATGTCCGGCCGTAGTTTCCGTACTGCTTCCACATATTCACCAGCCTCAAGCTGCCTGAACCCAACCGACGTCAATATGGAGATCGAATTAGGCGTGTTGTTCGGCGGGCAAGCGATCGAAGGCACCCGTCGCGGACCGAGAATGAGCAGGAAATCCTCAGGAACACTGATGAACTTGCGCAACGCCGATTCATGCGGCGCAGTTGGTACATTGTATATCGGCGGTCTTCCATTCCGGAGCGGTCCTGTATTTGCTTGCTTTTCTATGACTGATCTAAGCCCCGGTGGGCATCGAACATCGTCAGCGTCTATTTCCATTGCTTAACGCACGTCAACGCGGACATGAACCTACAATCCTCGAGACCAATGAACAGGCTGCCGATCGCAGTCTGGTCGCGCATCACATCATGCGCAATATGAGGTACAGCCCCTCGCGACGTGACGGGAATGTAATTGGGCGTCGGGATGGCTTTTCTGCCCGCAACAGCCAAATTTCCCAGCCGCGGGGCTAGGATCGGGGCAGTTGCAGGACTGAGGAGAGTGAAATTGACCATCTCATCGGGAGACTGCGACAATGCTTCAGGTAAGCTCATGACGATCGACAAGAGCGAGCTCGTGCCAATGTCTTGCGTTTGCGAGTGGTGATCGTGTGAGATAAAAAGGAAGCTGGAGCTAAACGATCGACGATAATCGATAAATCCGCTAGACTAGACACCGCAGTTTGCTTTGTTTCTCCACCGCGTTTTGTACCACACGCATCAGCCCAATCCTCCACTGTTCTCAATCACAATTAGACAGTATTGATTTGATGCTTCAAGTGATATTGCCACAAGCAATTCGGACCAGATGAACAGTCAGCGGAATCGTGGAGCTCTCATCGTTGTCGAAGGCCTGGATCGAGCGGGCAAATCCAGCCAATGTGAACGTCTACGTGACTCGCTACAAGCATCAGGGCACTCGGTGAAGTATATTCGGTTTCCAGGTATCTATTTCTCCTCAATTGTGTAGGGAAAATTCCCTTTGCTGATTGCACTTTAGATCGAACAACCCCCATTGGAAAGTTGATAAGTAGCTATCTACAAGGCCAGTCCCAAGCGGATGACCATTCGATTCATCTCCTCTTCTCAGCAAATCGCTGGGAGATTGCGAAGAGCATTGAAGATGATATAGCGAACGGCATCAGTGTCATAGTAGACCGTTACTCCTACTCTGGTGCCGTTTACTCGGCTGCAAAGGGCAATCGTAATCTGTCGCTGGAGTGGGCATGGCAGCCAGAGATCGGATTGCCGCAGCCGGATATGTGCCTCTTCCTCCGCATATCCCCTGAAGAAGCAGCGAAGCGTGGCGGATTCGGCGTCGAGCGCTATGAGAATGAAACTATGCAAAACCGCGTGCGCGAGCTATTCCAAACGCTCTTTGACCTCCAGCAGGGTGATTATGTTCACACAATTGATGCCGGAAGGTCCTTCGATGCAGTGTCGCAGGATATTATGAAGATAGTGACAGACTCTATCGAGAGACTTGATGCCATGGGGCCTTTGAAGAGGCTGGGAGCACTCTCAAACTAAGGCAATGGCTCATGTCTCCCAGCAAGATTTGAAAAAGGGAAACCCTTTCACAAGATTTCAGCGTCGTCGCACTCGCTGTCCTCGATAACAGTTTCTAGTTTCGGGGCAGCTTTCGAAAGGGTCTTTAACCGACGATCCGCGTCTGAGTCTGACTCTGATGCCAATCCGTCCCACCAGTCTTCATCCAGAAGAAATTCATCTTCGGCATCCTGACCGAAACGGTCATCTAAATCGACTGATACGGATCTTCGACTCGACGATTCAACCTTGCCAGTCACGACACTTTGTTTTCGATCAACTCTTCTTTTCCGTTTCAAAATTTCCAACAGCTCTTGTTTCGCGCGACTCCGGAAGCTCAGCTCCTTCATCATCAATGGCCACTCGACAGTGGCCTCACATGCAGGACAAATCCCGTGCCTTGGAACGATTTGGTTTGGCTCCTCGGCCGCATCAATGAACTTTCTCGATAGGCATAGTAGATGGCAGGTACAGTGGCATTCTGCCTGTGGGCAGACAGTTGTCAACTCTTCCTTTGGGACGATTTGCCCCTGGCATACATGACAGCGCACATCTTTTGGATCGTCGAGAAGGAATATGGCTTTCTCTATATAGTCTTGGATTGTAGCATAGGTTATCTTGGCATTTTCAACGCCACCAAATCTGGTGTCATTCCCACTGGCGTGTGCGCCGATCTCAGGACAACTCCCGTCCAAGATGACCTTGACAGGGCTTCGAAGACGAACATCGACTCGATCATACCAAGCTTTCCAAGATTGATAAATGTCGCCCGAGAAAAATCGTATCTTTAAAGGCCGGTGAGAGAAGTATGTTGACCTCAGCAGGCGATGTAAATCGGAGAAATGGGTGTCCAAGGATCGCGGGGGACGAGGACGTCTTTTGCTTTTCTTAGGTGTCCCCTTGTCTTTGGTCTTAGCCGAGTCGCAGTTAGAATCGAGAGACTCCGGATCACCGGATTTCGCTTTCCTCTTTCTCCTGTGCTTGACCTCTGCAGGAGCCGAGCTTTCGTTTGATCGTAAGTGGCGCGAGTACCAAGGATTTTGCCAAGCCCATCTTTGGGAGCGTTAGATCCTGTACGCAAGATAAATATGGAGAGACGTACTCAAACTGCAGAGCTGCGAGCCGGCTCGTAAAGCCTTCAACCACCAGAAGCATCTCCCACGGCCTCAGCTTCTCGGCGGCAGTCCGACGAGCGCCGCCCTTGACGACACCATTGTGCTGAACCAGTCGTCTTGCGGGATTGGGCGTGGACCCGATATAGAGAGAGGCATGTCTCACAGTCGAGCGGAGCAGATAACAGCAATAGAAAATTGGGATAGGCCTTGGATGCTCTATTTGGATGTCCTCCATGGTACTGTTGTCAGTATTTAGGAATCGGAGGCGACGTCTGATGAACAGGTAATTTGGCCCTAGTACTCCGTATTTCAAACGCTTTAAAGCTGAGGCTTCGGTTCAACATTCCTCCTTATTTAGTTCAAACAACAATAACGACTAAAAGCGATAAATACGCCAGTCTTGTTGATATCAGGTTACTGTTTATTCTGTTATTGATGGTCCAACGTCAACAAGCAAATCACATGATGAGTGCAGATAAGCATCACCTCTTCTGCCTAAGGCATCACATCACTCAAAACACTGAATATTATATTACGCACCAACAGCTGGAAATGACAAGAAGAAAGCCTTTCAAATCTAGCAGAATCTGCACTGCTAACCTGCAGGTAATTACTATGCACGTGTAGAGTACCACCCTATTTTTCTCTATAGTGTTACGGAAAGTTGCCTGCAGATTCATCCAAGCTTTGGGTTACCAGGGATAAGCTTGAAATGAGATGTGATGTGAGAACAAGGGGAATAATGAGGGAGTCAAGATGACGATAATAGAGGCTCGTCAGGAAGCAAGAGATTGCCGCGGCCCAAGTCTATGATATTGTTATTAAGTCTTTTTCTGGAGAATAATAATGATGATTTGTGGTTGCATGCGGTCCATGGTTGGCATGTCATGGAGCTTCAGCGCTAAGTCGAATATCTAAGTAACGCAGGGAAATACCTCTTGTAAGGATACGGCGACGAAACCATGCACCTCAGGGAGTTCGGGTCACCGAGGCTTCGAGTTTTGTATGGAGTAGATAGATTACAGCCTCGTGCTCCGCCAGATATCACTTAAGTACTCCGTATCGAATTCTGCATAGCTAATAAGCTACCTTAGGGAGCAGGGAGGATCCATTTCTTATTTGCAAAGGCCAACTGTAGCCCAACTCAGGTACCTCGACAGTGAGGTATGTATCGAAGTTACTTTACCTGGACTTACAGACCATATGGTAAATTAGGTACGGTTGGTACCGGGTATGGAGGTCCATACCTCAGGTATGTATGTTTCATAGGTACCAAGTGTCCTCCATTGACCTGGGGCCGACTACGAAATTAACCGCAGAAAGTGGCTTAGTCCACAGCCCACTCTTCATGCGAAGAGCACCTGATAACCTGATAACTCCTAGCCGATGATTAGTTAGTTAAGTAGACTCCATTAGTCAACGTAGGAGGTCTTGCCATTCATTTAAGTTGGTACCTCAGGACCTGCACTAACTTACCTGTCCGTTCTAGATTACCTTATCGTCCGTTTGCGGCATATTGGAGGTATGATACAGTAATGTAATGATTGGTATCGTTTCCTAGCTGTAATTATTACTCGTACCTTACCCTTTTGGTTCTGTATCCTTGGAAGGGTTCGCTACCAGCCTTACTATCAGGTCTCATTCTCACTCAGGCCATTACTACTACTATGAGGCTGCACAAAGCCATGATCTCCCTTTCCGCTTCGGGGCGTCGTCAATCTCCAGTACTTTTTCTTTTTCTGCTCTGTCCTCGTCTCATTATCATCATCATTTTTTTTGTCTTTTTCTTCGAGCATCCAGAAACCGTACTTGACTTTTTTCTCCTTAGTCGTCCTACTCCTACGAGTTGTAGTACTAGTATATACCTCAATAGTCGCAGGATCGAGGTTGATTGATTTAGATACTCCGTACACTATCTACATCTGCCTGACCAGCTCACTACTATCTAGCAAGCGATAAGTAGTGAGATGTGTTTTAACGACTCTACGCTTCGTCATCTCTAACTAGTGCAAACTTCACCTTATTATTCATTGACTGATTGATTGGGCTCGAGACTTAAGGTAGACTGCTTCCAACCACCGTCCTCCGCTGTCCTGACCTGCTTGTTCCCTCTTCCGAGATTCTCCACACTAAACCCTCCCGGGACCATCTCGGCCTTGCCTTTACTTCTCTCTCTCTCTCTCTCTCTTTCTCTCTTCCTTCGCTCGCTCTACTAGTGTCAAGTACTGTTATTTCTCCGTCTCGGTCATCACCTTTTGTCTCCTATTTGCTGCCCACTTTCCTATTCAGAGCACACTCACTATCATACAATAACTACGGGGACAATTATCGTTTGTGTTCGACTCTTCCTTTCATCTGATTTAGTCCTCAATGCGCTTTTCGCATCGGGCTCCCTCTCCCTTCCGTCCGCGATAAACCACGCGCAGCATTATCTTTTGTCCCCCGGCTAGCTGTCGTTACCTAGAGATGGTGGCTCCGGCCTCTACGGGCGCGATTTCGACAGGCGTACAGCCTCCAGCGAACCGTCAGCCCACTCGATCGTCGAGCACCCACCCGTCGCATTCTCACAATGTACCCTTGAGCGCTCGAAGGTCGGCACCCCTCGACTTATCTACGGTCGAACGACGAGGACAGCCCAATGCTCCTCGAGAGCCCAGCAAACGAATTCGACCCCATGGCTTACAGGAAGCTCCGACGTTCCGTCCGACAGAGGAAGAATTCAAGGATCCCTTGGAATACATCCGCAAGATAGCGCCCGAGGGCAAAAAATATGGAATCTGCAGGATCATTCCACCAGAGAATTGGCAGCCGCCGTTTGCGATTGACACAGAGGTATGCGAGTTGTAATTCTCATCCCTGTGCTCGCTTCTACACACCCTGTTCCCTTCCGTAATTCTTTGAGGCCATGGGATCACCATCGGGGAGATCCGGTGCTAACATCCACCGTGTTCCAGCGATTTCACTTCAAGACACGTCGGCAGGAGCTCAACTCGGTTGAAGGAGGTATGCCCCCGCGTTCAGCCACTTTCGCTGCCGGTGCAACTCCGCAGCCTAGTTCTGACCCGGACTCAGGAACCCGTGCAAACTTGAATTATCTCGACCAGCTGGCCAAGTTTCACAAACAACATGGCACCAACCTGAACCGATTCCCTAGCGTGGATAAACGTCCCTTGGACCTATATAAGCTCAAGAAGGCCGTCGAAATACGTGGCGGGTTCGACCAAGTCTGTAAAATGAAGAAATGGGCAGAGATTGGGCGTGATCTCGGGTACAGCGGCAAGATCATGTCCTCGCTGTCGACCTCGCTCAAGAATTCGTATCAGAGATGGCTTCAGCCTTACGAGGAATACCTCCGTGTGGTCAAACCGGGAGTGCAGCAGCAACTGGAGTTAGAACATGGTGGTCCCTACACACCGTCTCCGAACCAGTCGCCTATGGCGAAGAAGCCCGTCTTGTACGACCACATCACACCATCCACTACGCCCCAAGCTCCTCCGAGTATTCCGGTCGCTGGTGGTCCCCATGGTACTCCAAAGGAAATTGAAGCCACTCCTGATAAACCCACCCCTCCGGTCGAATCCGCAGCCCCTCGGCCTGTCACGTCCGGCTTCACTCCTGTCAATGCCGGTGGCGGCGGTTTTACTGCTGTCAATCGGTCTCCATCCTTCGTCGCCGTGAATAGCGGCCCGGTTGTCAAGAAAGAGGCTGAGACTGGCTCGCTTACGCCGCAAAGCGTTGCTGAACACCCTCAAAGTTCGACGCCTGTCCCCAACGGCAATGGAAGCCATCCCATGAAACGCGCCATCAGTCATGAGAGTGGCTCCCAGACTGAAGGTGGAGAAACAGACGCAAGTGGGCGAAGAAGCAAGCGCCTTCGAAAGGGTAAGCATGTGTTTTCTCAACGTTCCTCGTAGCTCGATATGTCTGACTTTCCGCTAGATGCACCACCACCTACCGTCGCGGGTTCACACATGAGCCTCCTCCGGCCTGCTCCGCCTCGGGCACGCAAAAGCGACAGTCGGAAGATCGGTGATGTAAGCAAACAATCTTCGATCATTGAATATGTAACACTATTGACTCTGCTTAGAAATGCGAAGTTTGTGGCAAGTCCGAGGATCGACCTTCGATACTTGTGTGCGACAGTTGCGACCAGGGTTACCATAGAAACTGTCTTGATCCTCCTTTGACGAATATCCCCGAGTATGACTGGCACTGCCCCAAGTGCCTGGTCGGCACAGGCGAGTTCGGGTTTGAAGAAGGCGGAGTCTACTCGCTCAAGCAGTTCCAGGAGAAAGCAAACAGCTTCAAGAAGAATTATTTCGCCTCCAAAATGCCTTTTGACCCGGTGCTGAATACTCACCGGCGGGAGTCTGAGGATGACGTGGAACGCGAATTTTGGAGACTGGTCGAGAGCTTGACTGAAACCGTCGAGGTTGAGTATGGCGCTGACATCCATTCGACCACACACGGCAGTGGCTTTCCCACAATTGAACGCAATCCGCTTGATCCCTATTCAACAGACCCCTGGAACTTGAATGTCCTTCCTTTCCACGGCGATTCACTTTTCCGTCACATAAAGTCGGACATCTCCGGTATGACAGTTCCTTGGGTTTACGTGGGCATGTGTTTTTCGACATTTTGCTGGCACAACGAAGATCACTATGCCTACTCGGCCAATTATCAGCATTTCGGCGCAACAAAGACTTGGTACGGTATTCCTGGATCCGACGCAGAAGCATTCGAAGAGGCAATGCGCCAAGCGGTTCCAGAGCTTTTCGAGGGTCAGCCTGATCTACTTTTCCAACTTGTCACTCTGATGCCACCCGATCAGCTGAAAAAGGCCGGAGTAAATGTATACGCTCTTGATCAACGAGCTGGGCAATTTGTCATCACCTTCCCCCAGGCATACCATGCTGGTTTCAATCACGGATTCAACTTCAATGAAGCCGTGAACTTCGCCCCTGCGGATTGGGAGCCTTGGGGCGCAATGGGCGTTGAGAGACTCCAGGCTTTCCGCCGCCACCCGTGCTTCTCCCACGATGAACTGCTTCTGACGGCAGCCGCTCGGGATACTTCGATTACGACGGCTAAATGGCTAGCTCCGGCTCTTCAACGGACATGCCACCGAGAGGTTGCAGAGAGAGCAGCATTCATCCATCGACATCGTGAAATAGCACCGCACAACTGCGCGCTTGGTTCATCGGACTCCTCAGCTTCTGGTGGATGCCAACTGAAGTTTGTGATGGAAGAAGAAGATCTTCCAGAAGATGCCTACCAGTGTCAGTATTGCAAGGCGTATACATACCTGACGCAGTTTCGTTGTCACAAGTCCGGCAAGACAGTGTGTCTGCTGCATGCGGAGACTTTTGATTGCTGCGGAGACTCGCCCTCTCAGCGGCTGTTAGGCCCAGACCATACGCTGCGTTACAGGATGAGTGATGACACACTGAAAGCCGTCGTGCAGAAGGTCCAGGAGCGTGCCAGGATCCCGGAAGCGTGGGGGGAGAAGCTTGACAAGGTTCTGGAAGATGAGCCGAAACCCCAACTGAAGGTCCTTCATAGCCTACTAAGCGAAGGTGAGAAAATCCCATACCACCTGCATGGTCTCCAAGATCTCGCGGCCTTCGTCCAGCGCTGCGATAAGTGGGTTGAAGAAGCAACCAACTACATCACCCGGAAGCAGCAAAACCGGAGGAAAAACGAGAAGGCTTGGCGCAAGAGTACTTCTAAGGCCGCGCAGCTGGAGGAACGTGATCGTGAAGTTCGCAGGATAGAAAACATGTACGCCCTTCTTGCAGAGGCTGATAAACTTTCCTTCGACTGTCCACAGATGGCGGCTCTGGAAGAGAAAACCCGCGAGATCGAGAAATTCCGCCAGGACGTTAACGTTGCCCTTATGAACCCCCATATACGGTCGATCCAGGAAGTGGAAGAGTTGGTGGAATCTGCTCGCAATTTCAATGTGGAAATACCCGAAGTGGAAGGATTGGAGCATATTCTTCGACAAATGAGGTGGAATGATGAAGCGCGTCGCAAGCGTGATCAGTACATGACGCTTAAGGAATGTCAAGAACTCGTCCAGGCTGGCGAACAATTGGGACTCTCCGAAACCAACGAACATCTCAGTCACTTCAAGGAGTTGTGCCGGCACGGTGAGACTTGGGAAGCGAAAGCGAAGGAGTTGATGTCTGTAGAATCCGTTCACTATCAACAACTCGAAGCCTTGTCTGCGCAGGCGCTACGCTTCCCCGTCTCTCCGGAAACCCTCTCGGCCGTCGACGCGATATTGACCAAACAGCGTGAAGCGCAGAAGAAAATACAGAGTCTATACGAGCGGAGCAAGAATCCAGATTTCAGAAAGCGTCCGAAGTATAAAGAAGTCCGTGAACTGATGGATTCTCTGGAGGCATTGAATAACCGGCCCACGGGAGCAATTGACCTGGAGCGTGAGCAAAAGCGTCACGAAGATTGGATGCGAAAGGGGAAAAAACTATTCGGGAAAGCCAACGCCCCTTTGCACATCTTGAAATCTCACATGGAGTATGTGGAAAAGAGGAATTCATATTGCTTCGATTTGGAAGATCGCTGCCGGCCACCTGTGGAACCCTCATCTCGAGATAACACCCCCGACGGTCTTTTGGAGAACCACACCACGACAACCACCACCAGCAGCATGTGGGGTGGTGGGAAGTCTCGAAAGCGGGATGTCTTCTGCATTTGCAGGCATTCCGAGGCCGGGATGATGATTGAATGTGAGGTCTGCCATGAGTGGTGAGTGTATACCTCTTTCATACGTGTAGCTACAAACTGGCTGACCTGGGAATCTGTAGGTATCACGGTAAATGCTTAAAGATCGCAAGGGGAAAAGTCAAGGAGTTTGACAAGTATACTTGTCCCATCTGCGACTGGCGCCAGAAGATTCCCCGAGATGCTGCTCGCCCCAAGCTCGAGGATCTCCAGGATTGGCAGGCCGAAATCCCAGGTCTCCCTTTCCAGCCTGACGAGGAACAAGTCTTGGAGAATATCATTAACCAAGCAACTACCTTTCGTGATTTTATACAGAGCTTTACCAATGCGGCTTGCACAACGACGGAAGAGGTGCCTACGTTAGTCTTCTACCTGCGCAAGATCGAGGGCGCCGAGGTATTGTTGGCATATGAGACGAATTTCTTCCGCCAAGAGATCCATAAATGGGCACCTGTTGCTCCGGAACCGCCACCAATACTGGAGCAGTCTCTGTCGACACGCAAACCACGCCCGACAAAGCAGCAGAAAATAATGGCGCAGTTGGGCGTTGAGCGTCCAGAAGATCTTCCTCCTCATCTGCGTACCAAGCAACCGAACCATGCGAAGCGAAAGTCTCTCGAATCGCAAACCCCTCGACCAGCAATACTGCAGCCTACACCTCACACTCCCGGTGAAGACTTCAATCGCACCGGCCCAGCGTTGACTCCCATGACGGATGCACAAAATCCCCCGTATCCTTTCTCTGCCAATTACTCTCTTCCTGCTAGCGACTCTACTCCGGCATTTGCACCCGGAGCGTCTGCATTCCTGCCGCATGTTTCAGCACACTCGCCTTCATTTCCTCCGCGATCTCCATCACCGCATCATGGGCTCGACAGCGCTCTGTTCAGCTCTCCTCGGTTTAACCGAGATCCTACCGAGGGTCCTCCAGTAGTTGACGTGGACAATCAGGACCCCTTTAACAGTAGTCCTCGACACAATCTGGATGATGTTTTCGCAGATTTGACGAACCAAGATGCGGAGCCCGAGCCAGAACCGGAGCCTATGGAGAACACGCATGCTAACGAAGCATTGGAGGCACTCGATGCAAGTAATGGCGGGGACCACTCTGACGCTATGCAAGACGACGACTCTCCTGATACTGGAGTAGATGGTGACATGAACGGTCAAGCCGACGCCGAAGACACAACAGAGAGTTCTTGATATGACGTTACAAAATGTTTTCACGAATGGAAGCACTGTTCCGATTATATTGCTCTTGGGCAACCTATCTGATTCCACAGATCCCTATCTCTTTTTCCACACCTGGATTGCGCCGACCATATGGGGATGTGAAGTCCACACGGGGCTTGTTTTCACTTTTTAGAAGGGCATTCTAGCGGCGTTTTACATCTGACCCGGCGACTTGTTGCGGCGTTTGTTATATGCGGGTTCTTTTTTCTTTTTCCCCTTTCTCGCTGATGACTATTCTGCTTGTTGAATTTTTATTTTATGATGCTTCTTTGAATGCTCATTTAAATGCTTCATGTGCTCTGTACGTTAGTTGCTGCTTTTGCGCATGGTGGCGCGTATGGTGTATGAGGAGGGCGGGGAGTTGGGTCCTTTTCTCATCTGTGTCGTTTGTTTCTTTTCAGTGTCTTCACGGTTCTATATATTCTTACGGCCCCGCGGAGGCTGATCCCTGATGGATGACGATTGGAACTACTGTTGTTTCTGTGATACTAACATCCTTCAGCCTCTCTGTTTCTTCGCGCCGATAGCTCCCTTTGGGTGCGGTCGATGTAATACTAGCCAAAATACCTTATTTGTATCTCTTATCAATAGAGTCAAAGTTCTAATCTTACTGTTTAATCCCTTGCCGCTATGATTCGACCATGTCTGCATAGGCGCCTAACGCAGCCTGTCCTCCAGTGTGGATGAAAAGCACATTCATGGAGTCGGGGCGTTCCCGATCTCCCAGACGAAGTGACCAGTCCTTTGCCAGCTCCTCTTGCTGTACCCAGTGCGAGAGTCCCCGTACGACCTTTGAAGTATATACGGGATCGAGCATTACTGCTTCCTTTTTCGCCATCAAGTCAAGTGCCATGCTTGTCTGGGCGTCTAGAACACCATATGCGGTGCCAGCGAACCGATCATCAAGCCAAACATCATCCGTGGAAATGTCCTTTTCAACATCCAACCCAATAAGAGCAGCTGCACGACGAGCAAAGGTGAGTACCCGTTCCTCATGGTACTCCCGAGACTTGGTAGGTGAAGTCAAGATCCCAATGACTTGCCGAGGTGGTTTACTCCACCCGGTTCTGCCTTCCTTCTTCTCCAACAGCTTTAGTCCGGCGATCAAACCGCCCACCGTACTGCCACTCCCGCACGCAACGAAGATATAATCAAAGCGCCCACTCCCATCCAAACCCTGCGCCTGCTCCTGCATCGCAATCTCAAACGCACAGCGTGCATACCCCAATCCACCGAGAGGATGCAGACTCGCCCCGGAAGGTATCCAATACGGCGCCTTGCCCTGCGCGCGTAACTCCTCCAGAATCCTAGGGATCCGATCCTCGTCCCCGTCTGCGGGGACAGTCGACGACTCCAGCATCCTCACCTCCGCCCCAAGGAGACGGACGACTTGCGGGTTTCCCGTGCGCAGGAACGAGGCTTTGTCGGTTGAGGCGGCTAGGCCACCGCCTGTGCCTTTGTGGAGGATGACAACTGCCTCGAGGCCGAGTCGTTTCGCTACCGCGGCGACCTGCACGGTGTGGTTGCTCTGGATGGCGCCCTCGGTGACGAGGGTTGGTGGGGGTTCATTGGGGCCGCTGTGAGAGGACCGGATGTCGGGGATGATGTATTCGAGCTTGCGGTATTTGTTCCCTGCGCAGGCGAGTGGGGAGGAGTGGTCTTCTCGTTTGGCGTAGAGGGAGATATACGGTGTTTTGGTTGTGTTGTTGCTGTGGCTATTGTTGTTGAGGTATGTGGATAGAAGTGTAAGGGGGTGGATCGGGGAAGGATGAGGGTATAGCAGAGGATATTGAGGAATCTGAGCAAATGCTGCCGGTAGAGGGACTGCCATCTCAAGGGTAGACGCAGAGAACGTATGTAGTTGGACCAATCGTAGACAATTGACCAGATATATACTAGGGCTGTTTATGCACAGAAGGGTATCTAAATAGCTGATTAGCTAGCGGAGCAGGAATATACAGGGGAACTGAGGCTTACCATGCCAATAATATTGTCAATATCTACACTCATCCAGAACTGATGCTTAACCTTGCATTGGAATGTATCTTCGAGCGTTTGAATGTTGTTCAGTTGATTGCTGACCGGGCGGTGTCGTTTTGCCGATGATGTCAAGTATCACGAGCTTCCTTTTTCGGATTTTATTGACTACCACAAAATCCCACTGCGATTGGGAGCAGGATGGCTCATTCCCCGCCCTCTTTACAGAGCCTGTTGCGATTTCTAAAGCAGGCACGTCAGACACATCTAAGTTTTATATCTGGAGCGTTGTCATCCTCCTCGCGGGCAGAGACTCCCATCTACGTGGTGGGAAATCCGTCTGCCGATCTTGACTCCGCCATCTCCGTCATTGTCTATTCTTACTTTGCTCATAATCGCATCCCGATTGAATGCCCTCGACCTCATGTTCCCCTGATAAATCTACCAAATGTTCCCTCTGGTCCAGAACTGCGCAGACTCCGTCCAGAGTTCGTAAAGGCTTTCTACCTCGCTATTACAACCCCCTCAGTCGAGGGAGAGGACGCATGGGATGAGACCCCCGAATCAGCAGGAAGGATCCTCCACGAACACATTCTCACCGTTGCAGACTTTGCAGCCCATCTAAGGCAATATCATGCTGAGCCCACGGAACATCGGATCACTGCAGATGCCACACTCCTGGACTGGAACGCACTACCCCACCGAGCGGCCGACGGCCAACGGGGAAAAGGATCGATAGATGGCTTGCCCTCCGTCGACTTCTGCACGGTGGGCTGCATCGACCACCACGTGGATGAAGGCTTTCTCCCGCCCGTCGAGTCTCTCCCACACGGTCAGCCGCTGCTTGTGCGGCCCGCGGGCTCCTGTACTTCGCTTGTGGTCTCGACACTGCGAGAGCTGGATCTCTGGCAGGCTAACACTGAAGGCAACGCCACCTCAACTGAGACGATGCAACTCGCCAAGCTCGCTCTAGCCCCTGTTCTCATTGACACGACCAACCTTACCGCCAAGGACAAAGTCACCGACGCCGATACAGACGCAGTACACTTCCTGCTCTCGCAAATTGACCAGTGCAAGTCTACACCCAGTTCAAACTGGAACCGTGATGCGTTCTACGAGCAGATCCTCCACGCCAAGCAAAACAGCCTCGATCTACTCACCGTAGACGAAATCCTCGGCCGAGACTACAAGCAATGGACCGAGACGGCCCACCAGGACTCTACTTCCATTCAGATCGGCTTCTGCTCGATGGTCAAGTCGATTCCATGGATCGTACGAAAAGCAGGCAGCCCCGAGGCGTTCCTGGATGCCTTGCAAGCGTTTGCAAAGCGCCGCAAACTAGGTATCGTGGTAGTCATGACGGCGTTTACCTCGTCTGCGCAGGACGGCAGGTTCTGTCGCGAGTTGGTCGCCTGTGCTCTACACGATGGGGCGGCGGTTCATGCGCTGGAAGCGTTTACTGCGCAGGCTGGCCCGCAGCTGATGTTGCAAGAATGGAACCCGGTCGAGGGTGACTCTGAGGGTTATTCGCAGGCTATCAGGTGTGCTTTCAACAGTGATGCCCCGGTATGGAGGCGTATCTGGCTTCAGAACGATGTGACCAAAAGCAGGAAACAGGTCGCTCCGTTGGTCAGAGGTGCCGTTACAGGTCAGTGAGAGATTCTATGAGTCTGGATTGCATCTATGGCAAGATGATTGATGGCAGTTGGCCACCTTGTCCGTCGAATGTTGAATGTCTTATTTCACACAATGATCAATTCTCAAGGTCACCATTTCCGAGGTCGCAAAGGTCTGCACATGCAAAAAAGAAATCTATGATTTGGCTTGCCGCGCCTGCGACAAACATGCTCAATTCAACTTCACACAACATGATGATGGATGCACATACAGGATGATAAAAGAAAAGAAAAAAACTCTTACACGCCAACACCGCTCCCCATGACCATTGTCCCATTAACTCCGAACACATAAACGCGAAGTACGTTTACATCAGTAGTCCCTTAAAAAAATGGAAATGTTGAAGAAAAGAGAAACCAGATGCAGCAGATGAAATGACATGCTCCGACCCGGTGTAGCCGATGCAAATGTAACCATGGCGTAAAGAGAAATACAACAAACAGCTGGCCAGAAATGCGAAAATACGCCTGATAGTCACATCGTCCACATCCGCACGTCATGACTTGGCTCATAGATTGGACGAAAGATCATTCACCATATCAAGACATAAAGGCTTGTCGCGTCTAGAAACATTCCCATTCACAGAAAACACACCACCGGGCAACGCGGTCGGCGAGGACGAGTCCGCGCCAGGTCCCGCGCTCCCCGATCTTGATCACCGTCTCCCACACGCTGCCATCGGCGGTGGGATCCGAAGAATCGCTGCTGATCATATGATCTGCCTTGCGAGTGAGCCGGAGGATCTTGCCCGACGGCGACTGGATTGCCAGCTTGGCCGGCTTTTCCCGCCCGGATGATGACCTGGTGGACGATATGGCCGAAGTAGAGGCCGAGAACTCGTTTGAAACTGCAGAGACAGAAGAGCCGCCTGCGGAACTGGACACCATACTGAGTGCACTTGCAGGTCGGGCAAAAATCGACGGTGAGACGCGCCCAGTAGGACCCGAATCGCTGCCGTTGGTCGGGGAAGGCAGCGAGGATGGATGCTGCCGCACCGCAAACACGAATGTATTGTTGACCGCAAGTTTCGCGCACTGAGGTTGTATGATGTACAAGTCGTGGCGTTGAGCATGAGGTGTCGGGTGGCGTAGGACAAACTCATATGGAGGGTTCTCGCCCGTGTGGATTATTGGAAGGGCAAGTGCCAGCGGATGGGGAATGTCTTTGCTTGAGTGCATCAGGCCCTTTTTGCCAGCGTAGATTTTGACTGTGCCTTGCCCTTCGTCGCCAGGCAAAACAGCTTTCACAGTGAAGCGTTTCTGACCGCCGACCCAGTCTGGCTGCACCAGGGCGCGCTTGCGAATAACCTCCCCACTTTCAAAGAAGTCACCGTCGGCATCACGAGCGAAAGCGGGCGCCTCGACTTCTGCGGCACATTCCACGTCTGGTGGCACGAGAAGGCGGATTTGCAGAAGCTCCAGTCCTTCAATTCTGATCAGGCTGGTATCATAGTCTGGAAACTGCAGGTTCATTTTGAAGTAAGGTGGGCACGCTGTAGGAAGGGCTAGCAACACATCGGGAGAGATGGGTGGACATATGTGTTGCTCCTCGGGATACAATGGCACATGAGTATAGCAGATCTCAAGCGGACGTGCCAGGAAATACCAGCTTTCGGCTGTTGACGAGCCACTGGTTACGAATTGATTCCTTCGGGGGTTGGTCGGGTTTGCCAATGCGCAATCGATAACGCGCCATTCGCCATCCACCAAGACTGTATTCCACCAGTGGTTTGGCCGCGAAAGACTGTCCAGCTCGAACAATTCACCGGGTGTTTTGAGGAACCCTTGCACTACTTCGGCATGAAGACCGACTGCCGCGCACATTTCCTTGACCAGAAACGCGACTTCCTGAGGACTTCCTCGTCTCGTTTGCAGAATTCGTTTCAAGTCAATTCCGATCTCTTCCACGGGCTCGTCCCAGGCAATCTTTTCACTGACCCAAGTGAAGATAGCTCGCAATCTCTGCACATCGCTCTTGTAAGGTCGGCACACATAGCCCTGCGCAAGGCTCATCGGGTTGGTCATCGGTGGAAGGCTGTTGACAAACCGAGCACTTTTATCGACGAGGCTCAAGTTTACCGAGTTGAAGTTGGTGGGCTCGCTGATCGGTAGCCCGTCAATACTTTCATCACCTTCGGCAGTCTCGTGAAGCTCCTCCACCGCGTAGATCACAGGATGGTCCATCATTTGGCAGCGCTCGGCTCTTTCGATACGTTCGTTGCGGCTCGGCGAGCTTGCTCGATTCACATCACGCCGAACCTGCACCCAGTCTACCGTGCCAGCCCCTGCATCGCGAGCCGTGTCACGTCTAATCGGAGACATTGCCCTGCCTTTCGTAGGTGAATAGGATCCACCACTGTGTCCCACAGCGATACTGCTTCTGGCATTAGCGGCACCGGTCTTGGCTGATTCGAAGATCTTCTTGAAAAACCCATGCTTCTTCGCCTTCGGAGTGGATAGACCGCCAAAAACAGCGGTGGATTCGCTGGTATCGGCAGCGGGTTGAGACCACGGTATGGCAGACGAAGCGCCTTGGCGAGAGGTGTTGTGACTTGAGTGGTACGATATACCAGTAAGAGGGGTCTCAGGCCGAGGCACGCGTGAAACATCGCTGAAGCCTCTTGAGCGAAAGGTTTCCATGGCTGTATTTGGCCTTTCATTACTGGTCGTCAGTCCTCGCCTGGCATAGCTTCCTGCACTTGTTGCGCTGAATGCGCCCGCCGACGGGCCACTCATCAAGCTCTGGCTCGTTTGTTCTGTGCTGGCTGTCATAGCCGTACTAATACTTTGCACTCCGCTTGAAGAAGTCGTGGTACTGGATTTCGTGTGACTTCTATTCAGAGCGTCTTCTCTCAAGTCCTGCCCCGACCTTCGACTCCTCAGGTATGGATACTGCGCAGGGATTGAGTTATGCCTTCCGTGGTGAGCGAGATGCTTAGGTGGCGGAGGTGGAGGCTCTTCGTCATCCTCCGGAGGCAGTATGTCTTCGGATCCTCTGCGACTCTGTTCCTGCATCTGACGCAGCCGGCTTTCCATTCTCTGCACGTAGTTGTTCAATTGCGGCGGCCCGTCAAGGTACTGGTCATGGCCGTACATGGTATTTCGATGTATCTGACTGTCGCGGAATTGATAATCTTGTTCACCTTCGAAACCGAGAGATGTCAAAGGTCGGTGACCATGCCGGGCAGGTCTGCTATCGCGAAGGCTATCAAAAGCCTCAGGAGACCAAGGATTATCAAATACCGGGGCTGGCGAGGGTGAATGGGCTCCCCGCGACAGTCCCATGTCTTCCAAGGACGTCATGACATCTTCCATTGCGTCGCGAAGAGGTGACGGAGTGTTTCCATTGGCGTCCGAATGAGCAGCTGGAGACGGAGTCCTTGACATGGCCACGTAGCGGTCATTCATATCCAGATGCACGGGGACACCCATGTCCATGGAAGATCGCCGGTTGACTGCAATTCGATGCGGAGGGGGAGGCGGCGGTGGCGGCGACTCTTCGCGCTCTTGAAGCTGCAACGGGGAGATCTCGTGCGACGGAGGGTGGACTGACGGAGGCCGAGCTAGCGGGGTCTGCCTGACAGGCACGGACGGCGGCAGAAGATCCATTTCATATGGGAGACGAGGGGACGGCGCGCGGGAGGGAGGCCTGGAGCGCGAGATACTCTCTCTGGCTGGAACGGGACTTTGTGGTGGAGGATCGGCGACCGGCGGCGCACGGGGAGAGACCCCACGGGAAGAAGGTCTATGTTGCGAGGGAGGTCTGGAAAGAGAGCTCTGGTTTTTCACCGCAGTAGTTGGTGTGCGCAGAGGTTTGACACTCCGCACACGGCTGCCGTTCCGAGGTGGCGTTTGCGGAATTGAACTTGAAGCTTGTGTCGTCGTCGTCGTCGCGCTCCGGGCCAGCTCCGCCGGGGCCAAAGCTTCCTTGTGAGCCTGAAAGGGTTTTCTAAATACAGTCTTCTGCTTCTTTGGAGCAGAAGTGGGATTCGTGATTGGAGAGCGTCCGGCAGGCATCATGGGACTTGTTGCTCTAGTGACAGGCACGAAATCTTCACCCAGAACCTCCACGAAATTGGATGGGAAAAGCCCGACCATGCGCCTGTCACGGCGCAGACGACCCATCCACCATTGCCCATCTCCAGCATTCAAACACTCAATAAGATCACCCTCCACAAAGCCGAGATCGCGTTTTGTTTCACCTCCCCATGAGTAAATCGCACGACACCAGCACGGGAACCGCGTAGGTAGCTGAGGTGCCGCGGGCGACATTGCGGCTGGGGTGCCGGCGCAATGCAGCCCTACCTTCGAGTCCGACCGGGAGATCTAGAAACAGCGTGCACTGTTCTGACTGGTGATCTGCAGATTCTGTATTAGTACACAATAGTTATGAGGAAAACGACGAGTACTCTGTACGAAGGGTTGGGAAAGACGTACCGTGGTTCGAGCCAGTAGTAACAAAGGAGAGGATATTATTAGAACCCATACAAGGGATTTTCCAAAGTGTGCATGGTAGGAAGGGTATAGAAAATTATAGAGGGGCGCGATAACAGACAGCTACCAAGGTGTTCCAACGAGAGGGGAATGGGGTAAGGATGTGATAGATCAGATCGATAAGGACAGAGGTCGGAAGAATAGAAAGGAAAATGAGACAAGGAAACGGGATGGAAGCTGAGGATGCTGAGAGAGCACTACTCTGTACGAAGGTAGAGAAGGGAGGAAGACACACCGAGAGAGACGGAGGGAGAGAGAGAGAACTGGCTGAGCTGAGCTGAGCTGAAGTCACGGTGAGGCCCGATGGCTGTTTTGGTGTTTACGTGGGCTCCCGATTGGGCCTAGCGCCGTATGGTCTCTCTTATCGATAAGCTTAATGTGCACGTCCTCATTAGTATCCTTCTTCCCGATCGTCACCCCCCAGAATACAGAGGAGATTCCTTCTATCTATTTATTGAGTGTGTCGATAGTTCATCTTTCATCGGATGCACCCATCTGATGAATCCAAGCCAATTTCGAGGTCCCAGAACTGAGACATGAGCACAACGCTCGAGACTCAAGGTATGTCTCCAGGAGTCGATCCATGGTTTACAGACTCCGCTTCCCGCAGGTTTACCCATGGACAGCACAATGCCGGGCTCCGATGGAGCCACAGTGGTGACCTGGATCGGGTACTAAGAATGAAACAGCAATTTCAGAACTAGTGGCTGACGTACTACTCAGGACAACAGATTCGACTCTGGTATTTGGTGTCAGTGTGAAGTACAGCATGAGAAATCTTCACGGAGCTTCATGTAGGTCTAGACAGCCACGAGGTATCATTATAGCCAAGCAGTAATTGGTAGACAGTACTGAGAAATATACAGAAAATTCCGATCAGAACGCCCGAGTATGCGAGGCCGTCACAAGATGAAAAGGAAAACAAATAAGGAAATGCACCCAGAGGCAATCCATTGTAGGTAATCACGAAATGACCACGTGGATAATACAGTCAGTATTGTAGCCTGGAGATGCATGGGAATCCAATTCGATCAACGTTAGATACGAATGGAGTTCGCAATGCAGAAAATGCCAGATTGCTCAGGGAGTATGACACCCATGATTTTGGTTACAGAGGCACCTCAGAGCTAAATCGCAATCCACTGCCTCGTCCTGAGTACCCGGAACCGTTGTGATTATTGATCCCTGGGCTGGTTGGACGGCTATTTGCCGCTGTCCACTTCGGGCTTCGTGGCTGCGTGCTTGTTGACCTGGTCGAAGGTCGGTTCTTTCGAAATTCTCGCAGCTCATCCTCCTTTTTACGCAACAGATCTTCGCGAGATGCGAGCATAGCTTCCAACTCTTTGACGCGCGCAAGATGTCGCTGTTCATCACTTTGAATGTTGAGTTCTCTGAGACGGCTGGCATCGCCCGCAACCTTGCGCTTCAACGACTCATTCTCCTCTTTGAGCTGCAGGACCTCGTTCCCAGACTGTGCAGCCACGTTGGATGCGGTCTGGTACTGTTCGCGTGTGTACTCTGCCTGTTTTGCCTCGTATTCTGCTTTTCGCTCCAGGGAAGCATTGGCTTTGGTCAGCCGACGGATCTCCTCCTGTGCTCTTTCCAATTCTGCCATGCTTCCTCCTCCGGCCTTTAGAGTTTCCCGTGCCTTTTCGAGCTCATGTCGTAACTGAGTGCGCTCATCCTTTAGTTTTATAATATCTTCCTTTTGCTTCTCGAGTCTCTGCTCAGACGAAACTTTGGTTTCCGCCAAGCGATCACGCTCTTGCCGCACTTTGTGTAATTCCTTCGTGCGACTCTCATAGCGATGTTGGAGTAATGAGAGAATCCCTTCTCGTTCTTGTAGACGAGATTGTGCATCGGCCAAGGCTTTTTGGAGTTTGTCAAGCTCAGCCGCATGAGATGTTTTCAGCTGCAGCAGATGTGCCTCCAAAGCTCGCAGATCATTATCCAATGTTTGGCTGGGAAACTTTATGGATTCCTTCGAAGCTTCCGTAAATTGACTGGCTTCTTGAGACTCTTCCATCCTCGGCCTTTTAGGTGTCTGTTCAGTAGTATCTTCGACCTGCTGAGAGAACGTTAACCGGTCAATTCACAATAGAAAGAGGATGGAGTGACTAACGAATAAACGTTTTGGAACCTGCGGGGTAGGCAAAAGCGCGGTTTCGGGTTGGTTCTGGTAAGGACTTAGCGCGAAGGTGAGCTCATCAGAGCTTATGATGTGGAGTGGCTCGATAGAAGGTAAGGACCAGTGAGCATTGAAATTGTCCGAAAGAAGACTCGATATGATTTCCTCGGAGTCTTCGTAAACGCCCAGGGCATCATCCTGGAGATCGCCTACCACGTCTCTCAGACGTGAGGTATATTGAACCACCAAGCGTAGACGCTGAGGTTCTGGGTAGTTGGCGAAACATAACTGAACATGCTCGCTGGAGTTTGAGACAAGCAGTCGAATCACGGGGAGGAGGTTCCCATGTCGAGCATAGGTTGTTCGCATGTGTTCGACCGAGGGACTTGTTGCGTTGAAAGAACTGTCAAGAGCGACGATTGCAGCCGGGGGTTTATAAGTCTCCATAATACCATCGTCGATTGTTGACTGGATCCCAAAACTAAGGGATTCTTTCACCATGGAGACTTCCAAATTCGTCCCGAGTCCCATCTCGTGGCGAGGCCTGGTGTACGAAAGGCCCTTCCCCATAAGGAAGCGCTCAAGTATCTTCAGAGTCTTCGCTCCGTGCACCATGATGACCAAGTGCAGATCACGGCTACTAGCATAGTTGATCAGGTATCCCAGGAGTAAGAACTTCGCGCTTGAGTATTCAGCCCACGCAGCCTCTTTCGCTAGGTCTGAATCGGAGTCTTTGATATGCTCGGTAATGTTCAGATCAGGATGGGTTGAAGCATTGCTCAAACGCTCAAGTAAGCTATTCATTCTGGGAATCAAACGCTCTTGCTGTTCACTATTTAGATGTTGATCGACGAGGCCAAGAATGCATTGAACTCACCTCTATCCTAGACGTTTCGGTCTGGAGCGCGAACGTCTTAAGGAACTCGTCGATGCTTTGAGCTTCGTCTTTCAATATCCGTTCATAATCATCTTTGACCCTTGAATCCATCGGGAGAGGCACGGCAAATTCTGATGGCCCAAGCTGGACAGAGCCTGGAATCGCTTGCTCTTGATGGCTGACCGTCAAAGCGCTGGGTTGGATTGTCTGCAAAATAGGTTGTTGAGGAGGACCCATTTCCGTGGGTCGTACCAGCGGGCCGGGAGCACTTAGTTCTCCCTCCGCGTGAGCTGCGTGTGGAGCATCGTCTCTGTCGACCCTAACGCTAAGAGGTGCCGTAACTTCGGGTATGAACAGCGAGGGCGATGGTTCAATATCTCCAGCCGAGGACGGAGTGACGCTAGCATCAGCGTTTAAAGGAGTTCCGGGATTGGTTTTCGCACGTATTTGAGCATGTGCATTTCGAATCTTTTCCAATGGCGTCGAACCCTCGTATTGGCTATACTTCTCCATGGTCTCCGCCAGAGACGGAGTCACTCTGTCTCCCTTGCCGGCATCCATTGCCACGGCTTCGACAGCCACGGATGCCGAGGCCTTCCGTTTCGAGGGTATTGGCTGGTGGTTTAGACTTTGTTCAGGTGATTGACTGGCGTTCTGCGACTGATGTGAAGGAACCGTCTCTGGAACGGAACTTACGTGACGAACAGTGATGTTACCGACAAGACTGGAACTTCCTGATATGCCTAGAGTTGTTAGCCTGGCATAGAATAATGAGAAACGCGAGATCAACAACCTGTTGACCAGGAAGTAGCTGGTAACAACTGAGAGCCTAGGCTGCTGGAGTTAGATTTTTGACTGATTTCGATAATTGATGTCTGCGAACCCGAGCTCTTTGTATTCGAGATGACGCGTGTACGCTGGCTTGTCGGGATATTTGTCACGGAGGGTGGCGTCTCCGCTACCTCGTCCACTGGTCTGTTTCGGTTGCCAACTAGTGCTTGAGAGGAAGTCTGGGTAGCGCGAATAACACTCGAAGCCACCTTAGATTCAACTGGAGAATTGGGCTCTGTGATTTCGCCAGGAAGTCTATATCTGGACGGTATCGAGGATCTAGTAATGTACTCGAACACACACCCAGAATGGTTTGGTGTGGTGACTGACAAAGGAAATCTGTACTTGTTTTCTTTAGAGGCACCTCGTCGGGGACCCTTCAATTCCTGGGAGAAAGTCAGCGCCTGATGGGGTTGCGTTAGCGCTTCGCTAGTATTTTCCTTTAGATGTGGTCCTTTGTCGACCGGTACAAATAATGGAGAGGGCGAACGGTCGTGAGATCGCGGCGGCTCAATTCGGCTTTCTGCGATGGTAGGGCTGGGACTCAGTGAGCTTCGACTTTCGCAGTGCGAGTCAGTTAAACGGATTGGCGATGGATTATCGGGATGGTTCCTGGACAGGCTGTTGTTCGTCTCCTTCTTCTTTTCTTCCCACACTTTTATCGCGGCTTCGTTGGCGTTTGCTTTGGGTTCCTGTCCGTATGCACCCGATTAGATGACTAGCACTTTGCCTCCAAGCGCCAAGTGTTTCAAGACAGACGCTTTGCCCAACTCACCCACGTCGGCGACCAGGGGCCCTCCCAGTCAATAAGGTATTGAGATTCGGTTTCGTCAAGGATGCAGTTAATGTACCATTCGTCTTCGTCTAAGCTAGATCTGCTGTCGTCGTTTTCGTCGTTCTCGTCGTCACTTGAGGCAATGACATAGACTTCTTTCCACCTTTTTTTTCTGGTGTTATCTGCAGGGTCTGAAGATGCGGGTGAAGCGGCTTTGCGCTTGCGCCACATCATGCGCGTTCAATGAGCCCAGCCAGTTTGTAGGAATCCATGACGGAGTGAGAGCTCTTGAAGAGTAAGAAAGGATGATGTGGTTAAATATGAGAGCTACTTGCTGAGTCAGTCTACTGTTGTTAGAACAAAGGAGGGAGCTATTGACATACCGAGCAGCAATGGGCCTTTCAGAATAGAGAGGGAAAGCGGAGTGAATTATTTAAGTATGAACAACTCGGTCGACTGGGAGCTACGCGGATGATCGCCAACACGTGATAGGCTTGCGCTTATCAGTACCCAACTCCACCCTGATAGCTTCTCAGTGTTGAACGGAGTATAGATTCACAATGTACGGAGTTATTGCAGAGGAAATCAAGACGGAAGTTCTGTCCATGGTCTATCCAGTTATATACATGGTTCATACAACATCTCTATTCTTGCCTTTCCTTCCAATCCTCATCAAAATCAAAACCAAGTTCTGCGATGGATTTGATATTGCGACGCTCCTCGCCCTTCTCAACGAAGGCCCTTCTAATCTCGGGGAACTTTTGTCGCATCCACCTCTGCTTCATTCCCCAGTAATTGCATTGCTTGCCATGGCCATTATTGGCCAGACCTTGGCGTGTTTCGGCCATATCTGCCCAATCATGAAGGAAGTTCATATAATCAGCATCCAAGGGAAAGTGCATCAGATGGAATCTTGTGCTGTCGCCTTTTGTGGCGACAGTGGATTCCTCCCATTGTTTCATCTCTGCTATTGATGGCAGAGTAAGGCGTCCTGACCAAACCCGGGCATAGACTGCCGCTTGATTTTCCGATAACGGGAACGGAATCACTCTCTGGGGAAGCACAGGGAATATGAGGGTAGGATTGTAGATGTAGAAAAGATGTTGATAGGTATTCAGCGTCCTGCGGCCGTCTCCAAGAACGGGCGGGTCGAGAGACGATAGGAAGGGGAATGAATACAAGTAACCGGTACAGAAAACAACGGCATCGATGTCCATCTCAACCCTGCCATCTGCAAAGCGTACTGCTCGTTGATGAGACTCTGACGGGAGAAATTCCACGATTTCGGGGAAGTAATTCTTGTCTGCGGGAGTAGAAGGCGTCAAGTACGACTCTGTTCGCTGAGAAACGAGCACTTTGCCCTTGCTCACGCGGTCTATTTGAGCTCCGATGTCTATCGCAGAGGCTGAACTTCCAACAACAATGACCCTTTTGTCACGAAATTGCTCTGGTGAATCGAAGTACTTGGAATGGGAAATCACGCCTGGGTATTTCTTATTCCAAGGTTCAATGCCTTTGATGTCTGGCAAGTATGGCACATCAAAATGTCCACTGGCTACCACCACCGCATCGTATATACTGGTCTCCTTAGCCCCGGTACGCAGATTTCTTGTTGTCAGCGCCCAAGCCTTCGTGGTCGGCTCTTCTGGTCTGACATCAAGTACTTGAGTTTCGAACTGAATGAGGTCTTTAACATCCTCTGCATATTCTTCCAGATATTTCTTTACTGTCGAATGCTTCGGTAAGGCTTGGCAATCGGCAGGAAATGGTTTGTCAGAATATGCCATCAGTTCTTTCGGGATATTGGTATCCAGGGTGCTATATATGGGAGAGGTGAAGGTGAGCTGCCGTGTCTCCTCTGTCTCCCCAAATCGATACCATATAGGCTCTTCAATTGGTCCATCTGGGTTCAGTTGTGGCACCCGGGTCACCAGGCTTGTTTTTAATGCAGCGGGAGTATAGTTCCAGACTCCGCCAACTGAGCCTCTCTGTTCAAAGACATCTATCTTGTCAAAGCACTTCTCAGCGAGGAGATATCTAGTTTATTGTAAGTAAAAGACATAAGTGATGTGACCGCAGGACGAGCCACAGTATCGGAAGTTCTCGTACTTTACCGCAGAAAGACCCGACGGCCCGGCGCCGATTACGGCGATCCGACGGACGGGCAGTGAAATCGTCATGTTCAGGGGCCTTGTTAGGATGAGTATAAGACAGATCTGATACAAGGCGCATCGGACGGACTGCAGTCCGGCTCTTAGCCGAGTGTGACCAGGATGCTAAGTAGGAGTTGAAAGTAAACCACCCGAATCTCATCGGCAATTTAGCCCCGCTGATGACATTGACATGCCGTGATTCGGCCTTTGAGCGTCCGATAGAAGGCTCCAGCCAGATATACTTTAGACAGGGTTGTTTGCACTCATCTCCTGTTTCATTTAGCACCGGAGTCATTTTGTTTGAACTTACTCAGTAGCCCCTAAACCTTCACGAGCCATGTGGTAGCCATGTTTTGAACAATACATAAATTTCGTCTACATACGGGGTCGGAAGAGCTATTGTATGGTATTATTACAAGGATAATACCTGCCTCAGTGATGTAACTCAGAGCCTTCCGAAGCTTTACGCAACAAACACAGGAAAATCATCGTGTGCTCTCCCCTTGGGATCGTTGGTCTTCCAACCACAGGCAACATTGTACTGTTGCTGTAATACTCTCGCTTTCTTCTCTACAGATGACTTTCTGACGAACGAGCAAAGTTTCCTTCAAAAATGCAAAATCATTGATCAGGGCCTGACCGATTCCGCTATTCCGCTCCGCGGCCGCGACGATGAACTCCCACGAACAACCTTCGATGTCTGAACCCCTGCGTTCGACTGCCATATCTATTGCGCAAATCTCCCCGGATGCCGACCGGATATTAGAACGCTCAATACACGCGATCGTTACCCTAGTATGGCCTTACTCGTCGTCGAACAAATCTCTCAGCCTCTTGTTAGCTGAGCCCGACTTCCGCCTCCGACGAAACAATGGTCAAGTAAAAGTGGTTTTTCGTGGACGTGCTGCAGAAGCGGTAGCCAAGTCTCAAGTTGGGATCGGCGACCATGTTTATCTAGGCCTGGCTGGGTCAAAATTCGTGCCCAGTGTGGCAGTAGCTCAGACGCCTGGAAAGTGCGTGCCTTGGGATGTACAACTTGATGATCGCGTGCTACTTGAGGTGCGTTGAGCGCGTAGCAAAGAGGATACAGTAGTGTAAACTGATCAGAGCTATAGATTTGGCGTTCGTCTCAACACTTCTCGACCGTGAAACTTGACCCTTCTACAGTTGCAGCTCAGGACACAGAAGATGTGTTTGCGCCTCCAGCTACACCAATCGCTAATGGACGTGTTGAGCGCGATGAGGCGACTTCTGCTGCTAGATTCGAATCTTGGAGATCTCCCGCCTTCGTGGAGCGAACACGTACATCGTTTGGTGGCCTCGTGGATTCAGCCTATGATCCATTCGCTGAAGCAGATGGGTTTGTACCTGGCAAAGGCCGGAAACGACCTCGTTTTAGCTTTCGAGGCGCTGATTGGCGTGTCGTTGATGAACCCGCCAGTCCCGGAGAAAAAGAGGTACCGGCAGATTGGACGTGGATGTTTGCAGAAGATGAGACTCACGAGTCCGATATTGGTGGAGAAGATCATATAGACAGCGCCACAATACCTCAAGAGATTTCCACAGTGACCGCTACGGTGACAAATGCTCCAGAAGGCGCCGATACTGTCGCAGACGTCGACAATGAATCACTTGATGTTGGTTTAATGAGCACAGAACGAATGGCCGAACAGCCCACCAGGCCAAGTCCTGACTTTGCTCAGCCACTACGTGCGCCTGGATTTCCCCAACACTTTGCCAGGCAGCAATTTGCAAGTTCCGATTTCCAATATCCAACAGACACGCCACGCCTGTATCCTATTCCTTCTCCCGGGCTGCCGATTCCATCACCACTGGTCACTAGGTCGAGCAGTGCGCATGACTACTTTCCAACTGTTGCTTCCAACGTGCAAACACCATTAGATCAATCCGCTGCAGATGGACAAGATGTAGAGATGACCGAAAAAGAAAACATCGTCATATCTAGGGTCCAGCCTGACGTTCCCACGAGCCAAAAGCTCCAACCGCTTGTTACGACTCCTCAGCAGGCCGTCGCAAGGAATACATGGGATCCAACGTCTCAAAATGCTTCTATCGATTTGGAAGCCGATAGTCAAGGGGGCATGAAGGGTACTTCAGCAGCCGACGCCATGCCCATCGAGGATAGAGAGCCCGCGCAACCCCCGGAAGATGTTGAGAAACAAATATCCGACGTCCCGCTGGTCTCTTTGGGTCAGTCGTTTGCGGAGAAGCCCGCCGAGGTTGCGAGCCGCGATATTAGGGACGTCGTTGAGGAAGAATCAGAACAAAGTGACATCAATCAAGAGAAAAGAGAAGTCCAGGTCGAAGAGAGCAATGAAGATAGCGAAGATGAGTTGGAAGAACAGTCTGAAGTGGAGTTTGAAGAAGAGTCAGTTGAAGAGGAATCAGCCGAGGAGGAAGAGGACGACTTAGTCGAAGAGTATGGATATGAAGATAGTCAAGAACAACGAAGTCAACGACCGCCCGATGCCTTCGGAGCCAACGACTTTTACCAAGATGGTACAAGGCGTTATGAAGATTCCGAGGTCGAGGAGATTGCAATTGGTACCAATAGAGCACTGGAAGACGATGATCTGTCTGATACCGGATCTGAGGCCTTTTCGGCTGCAGACCGACAGGCTGCTGAGGAAAGGGGTCGTCCCCATAATATGGAAGAGGAGAGCGGCGAAGACGAACACGAAGGTGATTATGAAGACGAAGGAACGTTCGATGAAGAGGGCATCGAGGGTGGAGATGAGCGGGCGGAGGTATTGGACGAAGAAGAGGATGAGGATGACGAGGATGAGGAGGAGCAGGAGGAACAGGAGCAGGAGGATGACGATGAGGATGAAGACGAAGAAGAATCGGTATTTGAGGACGAGCAAGAGGCGTACGAGGATGACTATGACCGTGTGGATTCTGAATCCGAGTCATATGCAGGTGGAGATTCCGCAGCTAGGCCGGAGAAAGTTGTTCATCCGGAGGTCATCGTCTTGGACAGCGACAGCGAAGACGAGGCTGTTGTCAGTGCTCCGACGAAAGCTCATATGCCATCGGCCGAATATGCTGCTACAGTTAATG